TAGAAAAATAAATAATATATCACGACGTTTCGATCGCAACACAAGCGATCGTCCTCAGGCAGAAAAAAATACCCACAAGTTCTTACAAGTTGTAACAGCTCTCTCGCTGGTTTAGCAGTTCCACCGCTTGTGTTGCGATCGAAACGTCGTGATATATTATTTTTACTTTTATTTTATTTTTCTACCTACGTGACTTTAACCGAAAGAACCAAAGAGTATGGATTCCTGCAATCACGAAAGCTTTAAATAAAGATTGATATAAGCTACTTCAATGAGCTGTGTGTGGCAAGGGTCACCTCTGAAAAGGAGCTAATAGCTCAGTGGGCTGTACCTGGTGAATTAAATCATTTAGTTTATATTATGATTATCATTGCTAATTTTACTTTAAATTCCTAGCAAAATATTTACGAAACAACAATAAAGTTAGAAAGAAAAAAACGTATCAATCAAATGTAGTGTTTTGTAACCGTGTTGTGGTCACACGTCATTTTCTGACGGCACGTGCGTTATAAGCATTATAGATCTTATAGAAGTTGTAACGATATTAATGACTTATGGCAGGTTCATGTTGAGTGAACTGCAGTTGAATAACTTTTAAGGAATCTACATACCTACTTGTAGTACATCGAGACACAAAAAACAATGTCAAAGGGAAAATGAAAATTCCAAATATTCCTCACATCATAAAATGTACAATTGTATCGTGGCATGTATCACGGCAACCCTACTCCTTGCCCACAAATTAAACCAAGTTTCATTCTCAAACATGACAAAGCCGCGTTAGCCACAGTCGTTACGTATTCCCGCTCACCAGCCTACCTCTTCCTTTCTAGATGAAGGCTGCAGTTGCAGCAACACAGTATCCACAAAATACGCTTCGACTCTCACTCTATCCAATCTACCACACATTCAGATGCTCACAAAACCAAGCAAGCTAAAGGGCATTGAATCTTATTCAATTACAAAAACACTCTTCCTCAGGGACACCTAGAGACATAGCCAGGAAAGCGCTGTAATGGAATTAACCAAGATCAAGTTGTCCATCATGGCCAAAGCCGTTGGGGCCACCACACACCTCCAACGCGTTCTACCATCTGCCATATCTCGCAGCTGCTGTACGGTAAACATGCGACCATCAAGATATGTCCTAACAAATTCCCAGCATCTGCTCTTCACCATAACAAAGGCGTTTTTGGGTTAGATCGCGGAAATATAAACGTGCCGTTAAACCCGCCACCGCCCGACACAGCCAATTATTAAGGTTTGTCACTTAAACAAAACGTGCCAACTATTGACTACTTCAGCACACCGGTGTTGAAGAGTAAACCCAAAAACTTGACAATTTGAGTGTTTCGCGGGGGATTACAACCAGCTTCATTAGGCGATTTGCCGGCCTACGTGTTAATCTGCTCTTGGGTTTTCCTTGTTTGCTGGACTCATGGATACCACTCCAATGCCTGTCTCGGTCTAATGGACATCTGTGAAAAAATCTTTAAAGCTCATCGGTCTTGCCTACCTACATTACACACATGTCCCAAGCCAGAAATTAATTTTTTCCAATCTTGATTTGAAGCTTTCTCTCCCACCTGAAGACGATTGCTTGTGTGGCGATCGAAACGTCCTGATCTATTATTTTTTCTACCTACGTGACTTTACCGAAAGAACCAAAGAGTAGAGTATTTTTTTCCCTCCGAGTCATATCCACAATTACCTGCCTCATTCTCTTCTGGACTTCTGCATTGTTTATCTAGTTTTACCATGACATTCCGAGCATCCGTCTCCAGACACCTGTGCTCAAATTACAACTTCTGTTCAAGTTGTTTTCGTTTGTGTCCAGCTCTCTGACCCATACGCTAATACAGACAGCTCTCACGCCTCAAGTGACCCTTTTCAAATACAGTAACTTACAACTTCTCTTCCCATGGTGATATGAAATTGATGCACTTGTAAACACGACTTGGTCACAAGCTTAAAAAAAACCGTCCCAACCTTATGTATGTTACACGTGCGGTCCTTTTTCTTATCCACTACTGGATGAGGGCCTCCCATATGTTGTGTATGTCCTGGGGTTATTTTTGTCCATTCTCCACCATGCTGGTCAGTGCAGGTTGGTGAAGTCAAGCAGTATACAAGTACTGGATTTGCAGCATTGATCTAGCGAAGAATAAGCAGGAAAGCGAGTGTGGAACAACGTCGTGACGGATGGCAATGATGGAATTTAGCTGTTCTGCCCTCTGTTGCAACGCAACCTCAAACACTTATTGGGATTACTGCAATGTCTTGTTTGCTGTCGTTTCTAAAAGTGTTTTAAATAGACTACAATATAATAAAAACTCTGCTGCCCAGGTTTTAACGAGATCTAAATCGCGTGACCAGATTACTCCATTTCTTTCCTCCCTGCACTGGCTACCTGTAAGGAACAAAATCTACTTTAAGATTCCTCCATTGACATTCAATGCCTTGGATGAGTTTGCTCCTACATATCTCAAACATCTGCTCAAGTGTTATTATTCTACTGCAAAAACTAAGATTTTCTGATTCTGGCCTTAACTCTATTCGAAATTATTTAGGATTTATATACAATTTGAGTGTTTCCCCTTTACAGGGTGCTATATGAAAAACATAAAACAAGCTTTTTTCCGCCAGGCGCCGCGATAGTGGAATTCTCTTCCTCGGTCCATTAGGAAATATTGCGTCTGCTAAATTGTTTAAATCGCATCTTTAAGCTCTCCTGTTTTTACGATAGGCTTTCTCCATAGTGTAATCTTTACGTAAAGCGTTTAGCGGCCTCGTGCAAATTCCGCTATAGAAACCAAGTTTATTCATTATTATCTATGGCGGTCAACCATCCAAGCACTATCCAGGTTCGAACTTGCTTAGCTTCCCCAGATCTGATGAGATTGGGTTGTATTCCGGGTGACTTGGCCACATGCTTGCAATTGCCCAACGGGTTGTTGTAATTTTCAATATTTCAGACCCCTACCCCTCTGAACCATTAGCCAATCAAAGTGGACTTTTTAGCGAGTTGGTGGAACTGAAGTACCAACTGTGACATTACAACTCCACGCACGTGGGCCATTCCCTATCATCGTCTTTACCGACTATGGTATAAATGTATGTTTTAATATTCCAACCAGTATCAATACACCAATGGATGAAGGCCTCTACAAGGCTTGTGGATGCCCAACTGAACCAAGCAATGTGGACAGTAACCGATGCCTTAAAATCAACGCCTACCCAACTGCTTCCCGTGCTGTCTCACACCACGTTACCCCATATCCACAGAGGGCCTCAAAGTCTCAACTGGGCACGCACGGATGATCATGAAAGCCCGAGCTGCCGACAGTACAAGCGAAGTCGCAGAACCCATCAAGAGCTCACCTAAATCCCGGAAACAATTTTGGTCGCGAGCAAAGGCTCGTGAAATCGTCGTCGCGTTCAACGACCCCCGTGGAATGTTGGCGAGCAAATCAACGTCCGAAATGGGCACCTACAAAAGGAAACAAATCATTTCCGACGCCACGCAAAAAAACGCCTCCCCAATGCACCGCACTCAAGTGCGTTGAGTACCTCACACGGGCACTGGCGCCCATCTCACGCACAAATGGTAAATAAAGATGAGCCCCAATTACGACCGTGGCTCCACGCCGCACCGCAAACCATGAACCGTATGCTATATCGCTACCCCACACCGTAAAGGTACTCCACATTCTACTCCAGGCAATAGGCCAATCGTGTCCAGAAACCGTTACTGGGCCTCTACGTTCAGCCTGGAAAAATAAATACCGCACAGACGGCTAGGTTATACAACGCACGTGAAGATGCGAGCGTGTCGCTACCTAGCTACCTATAACACTTGTCTGTCCTCTGACCTCCTGCCAGTGAGCTTTCAACACTTAAAGATACTTTAATAATACCTGCATTTGTTGCGCCCATAATGTAACATAGCCTTAGTCTCGTCATTTGGTCATTTTCTGTGTCTAATTGACTCAAGGTCAACTATTTAATCCACCCTAGGCTATTAAGTGTTAATGTGAGGGTGCCCAATTCCCAATCAGTAAACCGAGTAAATATTTTTTGTATACATCACCAAGTACCATTTTTGGTCTCTGCAGTACACTGCAGTCTATAATAACACTGCTAACATATCTTATAGTCTGCATCTTCTTGCTTTGGTATTTGGTGGGTGGTCGTAGCCATTGTTACACTTGATGTTTGTTCATAGTCAACGTTAACGCAAAATAAATAAAAATGTATTCACAAATATTTCCATCACCAATTTCACTGACACAATCGAAAGGGGCTGTGGCTCTACACATTCATCTCACTGAAATAATGAAATAAATAAAATCCCTGCTTTGAAGGTGTTCTTGAAAAGTTAATGGCATGAGGAGAGCCTAGTGGTCAGGAGAGCCTTGCAAGGGGTCAAAGGCTCAATTTCTGCTGTAGCAGCTGGGTAGCTTGTTAAGGGAATTGACAAATCGCTTTTCCGCTGTGATGGAGACAGGTGATAACCGCTCACTCATGTGTCCTCTTGAAACATCCACTCCTCTGTCAAGTCATTGTTTTGAGTCTTTCTGTAAACTCTAAAGCATTGAGACCAATAAGGAACGTTTCCGCCTTTTCAGTTGCCATCTTTTAAATCGAAATTTTGCACCTCCTGAAACAGTAAAACACGAAGCAGTCACATGGGACGATAATCACAGTGGTTTGCATTGCATTCCCATAGAGATTGTATCCGATTTCTCTGGCTACTCTTCTCTCTATTAGTTGGCCGCTGCATTGTGTCTGTGTCAATATCATTAGGCCACAAATACTTTGCACCCAGCAAATCAAATGTGTCACTGGCCCCAATTCAGTTCGGGGGGAGGGGGGGGGGAACCATTCTGCATCGATCCATCTTTCTCAATGTGTCTACCAGCCATGAGGCGCTGGTCCCTCCATCCACTATATACCGTGCCATGTCAATGAAACCTATTCTTATTCCTTTGGTGTCAAGCCCTCTTCCCTCATGTGGGTTTTCCAGTGCTTCTTCAGGGAGTTGTCTTGCGCAAAGGCTTTGTCGCACATGCTGCACTGGTACGGCCTCTCGCCCGTGTGTATGCGGTTGTGCCGTGTCAGCGTCGCCGCGTGCGAGAACGCCTTGCCGCACACCTCACACCTGTACGGCTTCTCGCCCGTGTGCACCAGCTGGTGACGCTTCAAGTTGGGTGCGCGTGAAAAGGCCTGGTCGCACATGTTGCACTGGAACGGCTTCTCGCCCGTGTGCACGCGCCGGTGGTTCTTGAGGTGATCGGCCCGCAAGAAGGCCTGGCCACACAGCTCACACTGGTGCAGCTTCTCGCCCGTGTGCAAGCGCTCGTGATCCTTCAGCTGAGCGGCGCTCCAGTAGGATCTGCTGCACATCCCGCACTGGTAGGGCTTCTGCCTTGCGTGAACGAGCGCGTGAAACTTCTGCAGGTGCGGGGACTGCTGCAATACGGATTCGCCCGCGTGCATCTTCGAGCGGTGCCCGATGCCTCCGTAGCCTCGCACCGCGTAGCTGTACGCGTAGTAACCATGCGGGTTACCCCCCGCGTGCATGCGCTGGTGGCGCTTGAGAGTGCTGCTCTGCGAGAAGCCAAGTCCGCACTGCTCACATCGATGTGGCATCTCCGCATTCTCCAAGCTGTGTGTGATGTTCTGCTGCCCGTCGCTCCAACTCGCAGCACTTTGATGGACTGATGCGTCTTCCGACAGGGGCAGGGTTGTGTGCTCCATAACGGAAACAACAGCTGCTTTCTTTCTCTTCGCTTCGATAGATGCCTCGTGCTGCAGCAGTGATGAGGACAGGCCAGCCTCGGCTTCATTCATGAGGTTCGCTTGCTCGGCATGCTGCAGTGGGAAAACGGCTTGAACATCCATTCCAAATTCCTCCTCCGGGGTCCTGTTATCTACTGGACACAAAGTGAAACTGTGAAGTTGTAATCTCTGTGTCAGCTGCTCACTATAATTTACATTAAATTAAAGTAGGCATTACGAGTTCTGTGTATTAAAAATTTAGTTTAGAAGCTGTCTACTTTTATATATCTCCTCTTCCTTTAATGTGTATTTTTCAGGGTCAGATTTGCACCGTACGCAGCCAACCGTGCTAATCGGACGTGCGGGGTACTTTTCCTCAAGGGAAATTGAAAATGTAGTGAATATTCAAACAGGGAATAAGATATTCCCACAGGTTTTCGTGGTTATACTTTATAGCTCTCCAATGTATTTTTGGGTCGTGCGATGTGTTGTTCAGCATATCTGGCGTTTCGTTTCAGGCGCTTCTAAAGCTCTCGGCATATGGAGCGAAATGTGGGACGTAATGCCAATTACGCAGTAAATTTAATATTTTTATATTCGTTATTTAAACAAACAGCCATACCGTCAAATGATTCCACTTTAATGCTATGATTCATCTGGGCAGGGATGAAGCTGGACTCCGTGGGACGAGCATCTGATAAAAATAAAATCACAAACACAACATCGGTAATTATTATTAACTCATGAATTAGGGGCAATGTGATTGCCAAGTGCGTTTGTATGTTAGATAATTATACCGCATTCTGAGAGATGTTCCTCTTCAGCTTTCATCGTAGCCTCAGGACCAGTCCTCAGTGACGGGTAGAGTTGGGTCACCAGAGTAAATCCCAGTGTCGTCAATGCCTCCAAGCCTCCGCACAGACAGCAGCAGTTCCCGGCTCAAGCCGCTGAACAGCGCGAGCAGCACGTCCACCAGGCCTCCCAGCGTCACGTCGCCAGGAGAGGAGGTGGCGCCGTCGTCCCAGCGCGGCGTCCCAACGTCGTGTTGCTCAGCGCCCTGCAAGGCCTTCACCACCTGCCGCAGCACGGCGTAGAAGCCGAAGGGCAGACGGTCGCGCGCCGTGGCCAGCAGCTCGGCCCGCACGAGGCCGTCCCTGACGCAGGCGCTCAGGACCCCGTAGTCCCGGATGCCCAGCTCCGAGTCCATGGCCCGGGCCACCTCCGCGTTCACGCCCTGCGCCTCCAGCCACGCCGGGAAGTCCCCGCTTTGCTCCAGCACCGGGGTGGCCACCGCGCACGCCATTCTGATGGTGCAGGATTCAATGCAGAGCGTACACAGTACCAGACACAAAAACAGGGACAAGCATTGATTTGATGCTTCCTTGCCTGGAGAAATGCCACAAATTCGCATTTTTGACCAAGATATCAATAATTGGCTTTATACTATCCAGCTGTGTTTTCGAATTGTATCGCGTGTTCAGCATATTTTTCTCCATTGTTACTTCTCTTTTTGAACAGAACAATTCAACACGTGGTACAACCCGAAGACGCATCTAAGACCGGTACAAGACAAGCGTGAAAACCTACGCAGTAGTATATCACACTTTCTAGTTTGATGCATTTTTCCCCAACCCAAATACATTGGCCTACTCCCTGAACTGCCCTTATATTGTGATGAGTTCAAATTGAGTCGAGTTTATACCTTGCCAGCCACATGGCAGCTCAGCTCAAGTCACTGGAAATTTTCCAGAGCGCCGGTAAGACCGGAGTCGCTACATAAATCGTAGCCACAACGAAATAAAAATAAACAGGTATACTTCAATTTCGATTTAAAGCTTTCGTGACTGCAGGGATTCATATTCTTGGTTCTTTCGGTAAAGTCACGTAGAAGGGAAATAATAAAATAATAAAAATAAACAATAAAATTCTCACGGCGTTTCGATTGCAACACAAGCAATCATCATCAGGTGTGAAAACCACAGCAAGAAAATGTTTCAATTAAAAAAAAAATTCTTGCTGTGGTTTTCACACCTGATGATGAATGCTTGTGTAGCAATCGAAACGTCGTGATAATTTAATAGTTGTATTTTTATTATTTTATTATTTCCCTTCTACGTGACTTTACCGAAAGAACCAAGAATAGGTATACTTCAGATACGGTGTACCCAGATGCGTCAACATTGTCCGGGTCGATAACATTTGACAATACTTAGCTTAAAAAATTCAGCCCTGGGTTCAAAAGCCAGTGAAGCAAAAGGCAGTGGGGTCCTTTATTGTCGCAAAAATAAATCTGGCCTGGGGTTTATCGTATGATCTGCCAAAAGTAAAATAAAATCATTTTCCACAGAAAAAAAAAACGATTCTCACATGAAGATGGCGTTCCAGGTGTCACACGTCCGATGTTAATCAACGTTCTTCGCAGCCGGGAACCAGCTAAAACGTTCACACAGAAAGGAAACATCGTTCTTCGATTTAAAAAAGTCACACTCATTGAAAGTCGGTGACATACGTCCACACACGACTCGTTGAGGCTCACGGCGGAGCCGAATGTAGAGGCCACGTACCAGTGACAAAGTTGGGTTTAACCCAAAAAAGGTGCTTTTTTTTGGGTTCAACCATCAATCACGGCCCATACAAATCCGATATCAAAGACTCGCGAATGTTATCATCATTTTTTGCAGAAGACAGACACGGATTTCATTCGGTGTGAGTCGATGCAGTCAGACACCGAAGCTGACCCCCTTCTAAAAATGCTGAAATGCACGAGGGTGGTGGTGGAAAATCGAGCGTCGGATTAATGAACTCACCGTACCGTTACATATGCACGAAGTATGTTCATATATAAACAAACAAAAGACGCAGAAATTAAAGCAATTTTTTTTTCAAAGAGACAGATAAACGCGGCTGCGATGCTAACGCAAAATGAACGTAAAAAAACATGCGGGTGTTTACTTTAACAAAAAAACACGGAACATCCACAAAGCGAGACCTCGGATGCTCTGAATTAAAGCAACTTGGCTCGAAATGGGTTTTTATTTTATTTAAACATTTTTTTATGTTTAACGCCGACTGTGACACGGTGCGTGGAGCAGTGGCCACGACCGCCGATGGACGCGGCTTCTCCTCTCCACCAGCGCCGCCGATTCGCACGGTTAAGGGACCGTGGTCATTTGTCGAAGGTTTCAAATATTAATAAATAAATCCTTTGACGTTTTCTCAAATCGAATACGGGTACGGGTCCTGGCAGGGGACTAAACAAATACATTATCATCATGTCATACCTGTGAACCTCGCTATATGAGTGCCTTACCTTATCACGGACCAATTAAAACCTTATTGGTTACCCCGTGCCCTTATACATCTCAACGTTCGTCCTATACACTACACTATAAACTACACTATACACTACATTATACACTACATTATACACTACACTATACCATACCTGCCAACCCCCTTATATCAGTGCCTACCTTATGACAGACCAATTCAGACCTTATTGGTGACGCGTGCCCTTATACATCTCAACGTTCGTCCTATACACTACATTATACACTACATTATACACTACACTATACCATACCTGCCAACCCCCTTATATCAGTGCCTACCTTATGACAGACCAATTCAGACCTTATTGGTGACCCGTGCCCTTATACATCTCAACGTTCATCTTACAAAATCCCGTCACAAGGGAGAAACACAAATAAATATACACCTTTTTTGCCCGTATTGAAACGGATGTACGCCGTATGGACCTGAAAATTAAATTTCCATGAACAAGAATACAGGTAAACCGTATGGGTTGACAGGTATGGTATAGTGTAGTGTGTAGTGCATAGTGTAGTGTATAGTGTAGCGTATAGTATGTAGTGTATAGTAGTGTATAGTGTAGTGTATAGCAAACCTGTCAACCCCTTATCAGTGCCTACCTTATACATCTCAACGTTCATCCCGTCACAAGGGAGAAACACAAACAAATAGACACCTTTTTTGCCCGTATTGAAACGGATGTTCGCCGTGTGGACCTGAAAACTACATTATCCTGTACAAAAATACGGGTAAACCGTATGGGTTGACAGGCATATCATGTTGATACAGTATATTATGTATTACAATTATTGCCATTATAAAATGAGCACCGTTTATGTATTCAAAATATTACAAACATTTATTTAGTCTTAACAATAGCTATTCTTTGGGTCTTTCGGTAAAGCCACGTAGATAGAAAAATTAAACAAATATCACGACGTTTCGATTGCAACACAAGCAATCGTCTTCAGATGATTTTTTTTAATAGTGGGAGAGCTGCTGAAGCAGGATGTTATATAGGTTTGAGATGGGTTTAGCCCAAGGGTAAGTGGGTGGGGCTAGAGATGGAATTTGCATGTAAATGTAAGATCAGAGAGCTGATATACCTCCACGATGACACAGCTGTGGAGGTGGCCATTGTATTGTGAGAGATTAGCATGTCAATGTAAGCGAACCACTGGAATGGTGGCTGTGCGAGTGAGACATCCAGCTCGTTAAAAAACGAGGGACACCACCAACTCGAGGACAAGGAGCAACGCTGGCTGTGTTAGTAAGACATTTAGCGTGTATGTAACTCAGAGAGTCGGAAATAACTGCTAACATCGGCAGGTAGGATGGAAACATCACAGCCAGTTGTGACTTAAACTGGTTAATAACGTCCTTCCAATTATTGCTCAGTTTGTACCCATCTTCTCGGTGGAATTGTGTCTATGTTTATATATCTGGACTAGCTGTACTACCCGGCTTCGCCCGGGACTTGTATCCACCACGGCCGGCCGCCTTTGTCTCCCCAGTGGCGATGTTAATACGCTAATACGCTACAGCAGTTACTCGTTTGAGGCAGAGTCGACCTAGGGGAGGTTCAAATAATCGTCACCGGTGGTGGCCGTGTGCGGGAATGGAACTGGGTTCGCCGGGTTGGTAGCGCAGCGTAGCGTTAAGCACTACACCCACCGCTCCTCACACACCACACACGCACAGACACACACACAGACACACACACAGACACACGCAGACACACACAGACAGAGACACACACACACAGACAGCACGCTAACCACTACACTACCGCTCCCCACACACCACACACGCACACACACAGACACACACACAGACACACACACAGACACACACACACAGACACACACACACAGACACACACACACAGACACAGGCAGCACGCTAAGCACTACACTACCGTTCCCCCTACACAACACGCGCGCGTCCATAGGTACACATACACGCGCTTGCTGCAGACACACACTACTTTCATGGTGCGTACGGCAGTAAACGACTGAAATAATAAAGCGGCAATGCTGCGCAAGGGACGCCTTAGACCTGCAAAACATTTGTGTAATGCGAGCGTAAAGACACAAACTCATACAAACACATACACAATATACACACACACATACATGCAGACACACAGACAGACACATAACACACATACATACACACACATCCATACACAGAAACACATACACACACATACATAGACACACACATACATACACCCAAGCACATGCACACACATACATACACACATACATACAGACACGCAGACATACACATAAAGACATAGAAAAAAACCCACATGCATACACACACACAAAAACATACATACACACATAAATACAGACACACAGACATACACATAAACACATACACACATACACATGACCCGGCTTCGCCCGGGACTTGGATCCACCACGGCGGCAAAACCGACATACATACACACACAGACATACACACAAACACATACACACACATACATACACACACATACACACAAACACATACACACAGACATACACATACACACAAACACACACATGCATGCACACAAACACATACACAATACACACACACATACATGCAGACACAGACAGACACATAACACACATACATACACACACATACACACACATACATAGACACACACATACATAGACACACATTGTGGTGGGGGTGTAGTGAAGAGTAGGAAAAACTTTGATGAATTTACCTCAGAGTGGCGTGGTGGGTGTCGAGGCCTAGTAGCGTGCAAAGCCTGCGGCCTCGCCTAAAATTGTGGGCTTGGAAGAGGCAGGGTACGGGTGGCGTTCCTTCCCCCCCCCCCCCTAGCGCTCCAACAATACTGTGTAATGGCTATTATTTAATTAAATACGGAGCTTATGAAAGTGGCGAAGGCGTGGCTAGCCGTTGGCAGGGGCAACCGCCGTCCAATGAAACTGCAGCCCTTGGCGAAGGCGTGGCTAGCCGTTGCCAGGTCCAATGAAAGCTGCGAAGGCGTGGCTAGCCGTTGCCAGGGGCAACCGCCGTCCAATGAAAGTGCAGTCCACACACACACACACAGACACACAGACATGAACGATTTTATATATATAGATGGCTTCATGAACGAATCTTTGTTGATAGCCAGTGGGTTTGCAGAGTACCTTCGTCTTGGAAAAATCTATTTCGTCTGTGCCCACAGCGTCAAAACAATGATCAGCCATGGCTGAGGTAATGGTCCTACCGTGTTTCAGATCTGCCTTATGTTCACGAACACGGTCCGATACATGTCGCTTAGTTTCCCAAATGTAACTACTGCAGCAGACACAGCTTAGTTTGTAGACACCGGGGTATTGCATGTTAGGGATTACATTCTTCACAGATGGGATCAGATCACGAATGTCATGTACTGTGTTGAATCGAACCTGGATCTTGTGTTTGCTCATGATTTTGGAAATCTTTTTGGTAACCCCTGCTATGTATGGCAAGGTGATGGTTTTGATTGGGTCCTCAGATGGTTCTTTCCCAACAGTTGGGGTGATGGCTTTACGGATTGTGTAGTCTGAATATCCATTCATCTTGAGGGCTTGGGGTATGTGCTCCAGTTCACTGGCTCGGTGGCGATGGTCACAGATACAGTGAGCCATCTGGTCTCTTTTCAATGAACACATCTACGAATGGTAACTTGCCATCCTTTTCCACCTCCATGGTGAATTTAATGGCTGGGTGTATGGAATTGATGTGGTTGAATTGGCCCAGCGCTGGTAGGCCATGTGGCCAGGTAACGAACGTGTCATCTACGTATCTCTTCCACAAGGAAGGACGTAGGGTGGATGCCTGGATGGTATCTGTCTCAAAATTTTCCATGAGAACATTGGCTACAACTGGAGGGCGAACCCATTGGGGTACCTTCAACTTGTTTGTAGAATGTTCCATTCCAGGTGAAGTGTTGGTGAGGCAGTGTCTAACCAGGGCCGGTACATCAGCATTCAGTCCTTGTTGGACCAAATCTTCAATGATTGCAATGGTGTCAGGCACAGGAACTTTGGTAAACAAATATACTACATCGAAACTGACAAGCAAATCACCTGGAGATAGTGATATTTCCTTAATTAGAGATATCAAGTGAGCTGAGTTAAGTACAGCTGAGGTGGTCTTACCAGTGAATGGTTGTCGGGTCTCAGACAGAAATGGGGCCAGTTTGTAGGTGGGTGGTGGAATGTGTCTGCGGTTGGTGGTGGTTGTGATGATAATGTATGGTGGCTGGTGAAATGGGTGGGAATTATGGAGTTATGTTGTTGGCCCATATTTTGGAATATTTGTGACACGTGTGGGGATGTTTAGATTGTGAACTGTTGTGGAAAACCGTACAAAAAACTGGAAAATATTTTGACACTAATGCATCTTTTTTCCCACACCTCAAGTTCCTGTCTATTATACCAGCGTATGTGTATTGAATATTTACAGTACAAGTATTTATAAAGCAACTCACATTTCTCAGAGGCAATACACATGCGCCAATTCATCAAGATATTAACTTTAATCACAATAAAGTACTCTCTGCTCAAAAGTACAAAATGTGTGTTTTTTATGTTTGCACATTCTATTGTCCACTTGTATCCCAGCACAGTATCTAATATATTTGCATTGGTACCTGAGGTTTTCTTTTATCAGACATTTCCTTACAACACTAATTCAATACGTAGGTGTATGGTAGCCAATACAGTACTACGATGCATAATATATGTTTTGGGGTTAGGCCACGTGTATAATGATCTGACCAAATGTGCAGCATTAAGAACCCTCCACCACCAGACATAGCCGAACAGAGCAACTGTCACGTGTACAGGGGGTTTAATGCGCCAATTATTATTGTTTCAGCTCACACCGGGTAAGTTGAAGAACAATCCTCACAGACAAAAAAACTCTACAGCAATTACAGTAAAATCCTCTCTCGATCCGCGCGGGTTACGCTCTTGAAAACACTCGCGAATGCAGAATTCGCAAATGCAGGAACCTTGTTCCAATGGGAAAAACGGGGTTACGTTCCTGGTACGAGTGAACATAGGGGGAGGAAATGGTAAATGTATCATAACAATTACTACAATAAATAATAAGTTCTTAAGAACAATATTTTGTTATTATTACCTTTGATGATGATGATTTGATGACGATGGAGGTGGTGGTGAAAAATTCAGGAGGATGACTCCATGGGTAATGCAGCTGTTTGATAACAGCGTATTTATTATTTTAGCACTTTGCCCGCTTGCTTTCACGTTCTTTTTAATGGACCTCACGGTCCACTCGTTTACACACCAAAATGTATAAACGAGTCGACTGTAAGTACGTATAAAGTAACAAAAAACTAAATTTACTGCGAGACGGAGGGCAAATCTTCTCGTACAGGTGGTCTAACACTACGTACACCCGCGAATGCATTTAGCAACCCGCGAATATTCGAATGTTGCGAACCCAGAATTCGCGCACAGCGAGGTTTTTTTTTCTGTGTATATATATACACACGACATTTCATTTGAGACTCCGTCAAACATTATCAGGGTTGGCTATGTACGGTGCGAAAGAAGTTCAACGTAAATACGTACAAACATCATCAGGATAACATCCAGGAAGTCAGAAGTAACAATCAGGGAAGTCAGAACCGCTGACCATATCACCTCACACTGCTTCTTAAATGGGTGTCATGACCTCACACGAACAACCAATCTGATTCATATAGTTATGAGGTCAATATCTGATTTATATAGTTACAAGATTAATGTTAGAAACTTGGTGGAGACATTGACCCAAAACCCAAGCGGATCTCATCTTAAAGACAAGTATCAATATTCGTATTCCCTGGTGCTCCGACACGAGTTTGTGGCTTCCTTCACGAGGAAAGTTACGGTTGATCAGATCAATATATAACTCCAGTGATATCACTGCAACTTCACTACCACACACGTTAATTAATAAGTAAAATTCATCGATGTCATGAGAGCAATGTGAATTTGCACTTGACCTCAAAGCCTTATGACTGATTTTTCATATTCAGGTAAAACAGCCACGGAAATATTAGACCTCCGTCCATCCCTCCAGCCATCAAAACTTTGTTTCAATAGTATAGTATGAAAAGTACCCATCGTGGAATGCAGTCCCCCCTCCCCCCCTTCTCACAGAGGCAAAGGCTTTGTTACACACAGCACACTGGTATTTCTCCTCCATATGCAAGAAGCAGGTGAGCCTTGAGGGCGCTATCTGAAAAGGCTTCATCACAGACGCTGCACTGGTACGGCCTCCCATCCGTGTGTATGTGCTTGTGTTGAATTAGCGTCGCCGTGTGCGACAAGGCATTTAACCCTTCCCCGTTCCCAGATTTCTGCAAGTTGCAGGGTGGGTGTCCCGTTAACCTCTGAATCTCGGAACACGCAACCGGCTCAGCGTTAATGTTATTTAGAGAGACATAGCGCCGTTGTTTAAAAGACACTGTAGATACTGCAGAAAACCGTAGCGACACGACTACACTCTATGATAGCTGGCACCAAACTGTGCTACACACCCTCCCGCATGGCCTTGTGGGAGCCTCGGTACTAAAGTAATTTTATTTTTCTTCTGGTTTTGTTTTGACGATAAGTTCGTCATCGGAACAGAATAGGAAGAAAAACTGACGATGGGCACGCATGTGATCGGAACGGGAAAGGGTTAAAGATAACGCGCAGTTGAGGACAAAGAGAAAATGGGCAGGACTCGGTGACTGCCCAACGACCTCTGACCTCCCCTCTTCTTCTCTTTCAGATCTCACTACTTCGCTTTGAAATGCTGGCCCTGGTGCCGCTGGCAGTTGGTGCGCTGGGAGAACGCTTTGCCGCACACCTCGCACTTGTACGGCTTCTCTCCCGTGTGCACCATCTGGTGACGTTTGAGTGTGGTGGCGCGTGAAAAGGCCTGGCCGCACATCATGCACTCGTACAACCTCTCGGCCATGTGCACTCGTCGGTGGTCTTTTAGGTGATCGGCCCGCGAGAAGGCTTGCTCACAAACGTCGCACTGGTGCAGATTCTCGTCCTTTTGTATGCACTCATGATCCTCCAACTGAAAGGCACTCGTGCAGACTCTGCTGCAAATCCCGCACTGATAGGGCCTCTCCCTCTGGTGATCAAACACGTGACAATTTCGCTGGGGATCCTGCAAGACGGACTTGTCCAATTGACGTAGGCACTGCTTGTCGGTCATGCGCATCTTCGAGTGGTGCCCGATGTCTATGTAGCCCCGCGTCATTTGGCACTGGTGGCGCTTCAGAGTGCCGCTATGTGAAAAGCTGCATCCGCATTGATCGCAGAGATGCAGCATTTTTCCAGGTTCCGAACCATGTTTGCTGTTTGGCTGCTGCTCCACATTCAAGCTCACAGTACTCTGACGGGTTGATCTTCCATCTTGCAGTGGCAGGGTTGTGCAATCGGTACCAGTAATAGAATCTGCACTTTCACTCTTCACTTTGGCAGTTGCCTCATGCTGCAGCGATGAAGATGCGTTAGGCTCGGCAGCCGTGGCGAGGCTCACTTTCTCGGGCTCCAGCGAGGTCACGCTTTGAATGGCGATTTCAAAAACCTCCTCAGGAACTCCGCTACTTGCTGAACAGAAACAAAGCAAACATTGTAAAGCTACACTACCCATATTTAATGCGTATTAATTATATGGTTACCTGCTAATGAAGGTGAATACAGGGATAATGCACACAAATCTCATGTGCAAATGTGTGCTACTTTTAAGTTTAAAAGCATCACTTTTTTTACGACAAAGCCAAATCTAAATTTTATTTTGTACTTATTTGATCCCACCTAAATCCATAAAATCCCCCTTCATTGATTTCAGTCCTTGATTCCATCGATCAATCTCAACGGATGTAATCTCCAATTCACTTGTTTGGCAACACTCTAAACCTTGTCATATCCAACTTATACATGTCGTGATTGTGTAGGTAGGTCAACGGACAATGCTATCTTGGAATACCATGTTAAGCCTCACCATCACGGGCCTCCACTTTAATCCTCCGACTCATCTGGGTGGGGCCAAAGGTGGACTCTGTGGAAGGAGTATCTGAAAGAAAAGAAAAATTCAGACACATTTAACACACACGTAAAAGATCATGTAAATGGCAACTACATTAATTGTGTTCACTTTTTTTTTTTTACCACATTCTGAGACGTGTTCCTGCTCCACTTTCATCGCAATCTCAGGACTTCCATCATTGGCCGTTTGATTAGGGCCCTCAATGCAGGTCACGGCAGCATCCATGACTCCCAGCCTCTGCATGGACAGCAGCAGCTCCCGGCTGAAGCCGCTGAACAGCGCGAGGAGCACTTCTACCAGGCCTCCCAGCGTCACGTCGCCAGAAGAGGAAGCGGCATCGTCCCAGCGCGGCGTCCCAACGTCGTGGGGCTCGGCTTCCCGGAGGGCCTTCACCACCTGCCGCAGCACGGCGTAGAAGCCGAAGGGCAGGCGATCGCGCGCCGCGGCCAGCAGCTCGGCACGCACGAGGCCGTCCCCGACGCAGGCGCGCAGGACCCCGTAGTCCCGGATGCCCAGCTCCGAGTCCATGGCCCGGGCCACCTCCTCGTTCACGCCCTGCGCCTCCAGCCACGCCGGGAAGTCCCCGCTCGGCTCCAGCACCGGGGTGGCCACCGCGCACGCCATCCTGATGGGATGTGGAGGACATTCGATAGACACAGCACTCAGTGCTGTACACAACAGCTGATTATTTCCCTTCTACGTGACTTTACCGAAAGAACCAAGAAGATGAATCCCTGCAGTCACGAAAGCTTTAAATCGAAAGATTATAAAGCTATCAGTTGGCTGCGTATGGTGCGAAAGAAGTTCAACATTCATACATACACTTCCTCTTCGAAGAATTAAGGCCTCGAAATTCGGTTAAAGGTGCAGTCCTTAAATTGTCTCTTCACGCCACTGCTGGCAGAAGGACCTCCACTAGAGACAGCTCCGGGGAGTCACTCCAGAGGATATTTTGTCTACTCTAATGGCCAGATGTCTTGAAAGAGATGGGAGTACCCACTAGGCCTCAGCAAGGTAAGGTAATTGTACCATTTTTACCGGGTAAAAGGGTAAAGGTGTCGACATGCAAAGGGGTAAGGGTAAAGGGTAGGGTAAAGGTAGGCTCGTTGCTTTTTACCTTTTACCTTACCTGCTAAAGGGTAAAAGGTAGGGTAGAGTGATTGTATTGTGGTAAGTTAAAAGGTAGGGTAAAGGTAGGCTCGTTGTTTTTACACTTTTACCTTACCTTACCGAGGCCTAGCACTACCCACCCACACTTTAACCCACCGCACGCGACCTACAGAATTTATAGAATAGTGGTGAACCCATTATATAAACTAAGCTATTTTTTTTTAACCAGGTAAGGCCCACTGAGCTATATGGCTCTTTTTCAGAAGCGACCTGGCCACAAATGATAGCTCAACGTAGTGGCTTATCATCATGTGGAAATGTATCGCAGCCAAAAACTCTAAACGCGTGATGTTTATCAAAAGCGTGGAGGAGGAGAAAAGCCGCAAGACCCGGATAAAAATCCACGCGACCACGGGGAAAAGAGAGAGACACGCAAACTTCAAATATACAACAGGTGTCGGCGAATGGAACCCCCGTGTGAGAATCATTCGACCCCGGTAAGCTGCACGTGGCGGGTGATGCAGGGATGACATTACGACTTGAACAACGTGTAGCCTTAACGGACAGGAGGGGCAAGTGCTGTTAGCGAGCACCTATGAAGGCCGGCACGGCACACGAGGGGGTGGGTGGCCAACACCCACTCCCGGCCGCCTTTGTCTCCCCCAGTGGCGATGTTTACACATCGCAACAGGTACTCATTTGAGGTTGAGTCGACCTAGGGGAGGCTCAGGACCGGTTGAGATAATCGTCACTGATGTTGGCCGTGAGCGGGAATCGAACCCGGGTCGCCAAGTTCGTAGCGCAGCGCGCTAACCACTACACCACCGCTCCCCACGAAACACACACACAGACACACACACGCAGACGCACACACACACAGATAGACACACACAGACACACACCACACACACAATAGAGCCACACACACAACAGAGACACACACACGCAGACACATACACACACAGATAGACACACACAGACACACACCACACACACAATAGAGCCACACACACAACAGAGACACACACACGCAGACACATACACACACAGATAGACACACACAGACACACACCACACACACAACAGAGCCACACACACAACAAAGACACACACACGCAGACACATACACACAGATAGACACACACCGACACACAGACACACACCACACAACAGAGACACACATACACACACCACGCCCACAGATATACACACACACCACACACAACAGAGACACCACACACATAACAGACACACACCACACACACACAACAGAGACACACACACAACAGAGAAACACACACAGACACACACCACATACACACAGATAGACACACAGACACACACCACACACACACAACAGAGACACACACACCACACACAACAGAAACACACACACAACAGAGACACACACACACAGACACACACCACACACAACACAAACACACACAACAGAGAGAGACACACACAACAGAGACACCACACACACAACAGAGACACACACACAACAGAGACACACACACAACAGAGACACACACACACAGACACACACCACACACACAACAGAGACACACACACAACAGAGACACACACACAACAGAGACACACACACACAACAGACACACACACAGACACACACCACACACACAACAGAGACACACACACAACAGAGACACACAGACACACACCACACACACAACAGAGACACACACACAACAGACACACACACTACAAACACAACAGACACACACACAACAGACACAGACACACACACCACACACACAGATAGACACACACCACACAACAGAGACACAAACACACACCACACACACAACAGAGACACACACACCACACGCACAACAGAGACACACACACAACAGAGATGCACACACAGACACACACACAATAGACACACACACACAACAGAGACACACACACACCACACACACAGATAGACACACACACCACACACACACAACAAAGACACCACACACACAGAGACACACACACACAACAGACACACACACACAGATAGACACACACACAACAGAGACACCACACACACAACAGACACACACCACACACACAGAGACACACACACAACAGACACACCACACACACAACACACACACAGTGACACACGCGCATAATCACTCGCCTTCCACAGGAATCTCCTTCAATAGAACATCCTCGGAGTTCGAACCACAGCGAGCGAGGTGGTGGTGATGGTGGTGGAGATGGTGGTGGTGGGGTAGCCTCCCACACGGATAATTCACAAGAATCGGAGGGGGGGGGGGGACGAAAGAACGTCGCCGATTGTCACTCTCCGGATGGAGCTGTCAGTGTCGGAAGAAGAAGAAGACGACGACGAACACGGGGCTATGGGAGGTACAAGTGGCAAGTGGCAGGGGGCAGGGACTGCGTCGATTTTGCAAGCGGAGATGTTGTTTATTTATTATGCCACGGAGGATGTGGTTTGCACACCGAGTCAGAGCTGTTAACCCACTCTGTATCGGTGCCATTAGCTTATTAGAGAGAAATTCAGACCTTATTGGTCAGCACGTGCCCATTATAAAGCTCAACGTTCATCCTATACAATACACTATACACTACATTATACACTACACTACACGCTACATTATACACTACACCATACCTGTCAACCAACTTGTCAGTGCGCATACTTATTACCGAGCAATTTAGACCATATTGGTCAGCCCGTGCCCATCATAAAGCTCAATGTGCATCCTATACACTACACTATACACTACATTATACACTACACTACACGCTACATTATACACTACACTATACCATACCTGTCAAGCCACTCGTCAGTGCGCTTACTTATTACAGACCAATTCAGACCATATTGGTCACCCCGTGACCTAAAATCTCAACGTTCATCCTATACACTGCACTATACACTACATTATACAATACACTACACGCTACATTATACACTACACTATACCATACTTGTCAACCCACGTATCAGTGCCTATCTTATTACAGACCAATTCAGACCATATTGGTCACCCCGTGACCTAAAATCTCACGTTCATTCTATACACTACACTACATTATACAATACACTACACACTACATGAAACACTACATTATACAATACACTACATTATACACTACACTATACCTGTCAACCCACGTATCAGTGCCTACCTTATTACAGACCAATTCAGATCATATTGGTCACCCTGTGCTCTTATAAAAGTCCCATCACAAGAGAGAAACACAAAAAATAGACAAACGTGTTTGCCCGTATTGAAACGACTGTACGCAGTATGGTCATTAAAACTCAATTTCCCTGTACAAAGAATACGGGATAAACCGTATGGGTTGACAGGTTTGCCGAGTTATTCATTTAAGTTTAAAATCCGTGTTATATCTGTTTGGCAATATCAAAAATTACGGGGGGGGGGGGGAAAGAATTCAGACTTTACACTTCCTAAGCAATAAAACAGGTGTTTGAGATGTTAAAACACCAGATGGATACCTTATGCATGGCGTCAAGTCTGCATTAACTTGTGGCGATTTGTAAGTTGAGATATTAATTATTCTTTATGTGGCTCCAAAGTCAGAGGCACTGAAGTTGGAACCGTCATTTATGCACGCTAAGTTATTAATTGAAGTATATCCTTGTTTTATGTTTAGGATTTTTTGTTGTTGCCAGTATCAAAAATTAGGTGGACGTGGAAATAAGAATTCGAATTTACACTAAGGAATAAAACAGGTGTCTGAGATGTTCAAACACCAAATATATTCCTATTGCATGGCGTCAAGTTGACACAAACCACACATACGTATGGCAAAACATATATGCTCTGATAATATAATCCATTTAAAACAAAACCTTTGACAATTAACGTCAGTCATAGGGATTGTTTGACCATACTTCGCCCTTCTGGTCAGTGCGGCTGGTAAAGGGTGTTCACCATTGCCCGGAATCGAAGTATGGGTTGTGGGTTTCACAGTGCAGTGCGCTAACCACTGTGCCACTGCTCCTTTGTCTTGTGCTTGTCACATTTTTTTGGGTCATGGGAACTGCTGGTGCAATAGGGTGAGATGCAGACCTGGTGCCAGTCATCTCAGTCAGCCAACTAATGGCACTTGCTGGGACACTTCACGTGGCCTCAAAGTGCATCTAGCCTGGCACAGGCGCCGTTGTGACGTTACCGTCGCTTAGTGGCTGACGGGTATTGGTATTGAAACAGTATTTTGATGCGGACGGTGATGCACATTTTCCCCACACCTTCAGATCCGATGTAGTTCCACCATACGTGGTTTGGATAGTGAGGGGCCGTCCATAAATGACGTCACGCGATTTTGGACGATTTTTGTCCCCCATCCCCATCGTCACACGGCGTCACAAAAAGTCAGACCCCCCCCTCAAATGATGTCACAAAGCTCTGCCTCCCCCCCCCCAAAAAAAAACTTGCTTCAAATCGCTTTAAACTATTGTCATTGTAGTGCGTATTTAATGTGGCGCTGCATTCTGTTGTAGGAGAAGACATTTATTAAAAAGTCTATTTAATTAAGTAGAACGTGTTGTCTATATTTATTTAAAGTTGCGCATTTTGATGTGACGTCACATTTCTCAACCCCCCCCCCCTTGTCACACGTCACAAATGTCTGCCCCCCCCCTTAGGTGCGTGACGTCATTTATGGACGGCCCCTTACAGTATTCATTAAGCAACTCGCGTTACTCAGAGGCAATACACATGAAGAAGTTAATCAAGAAATTAACTTTAATCACAGTACAGTACTCCCTGCTCAAAAGTACAAAATGTATTTTTTATGCTTTCACATTTTATTGCCCACTTACATCCCTGGCCCATGTCTCTCTTTCAAAAGACACTGCACGGCAACACCAAGAGGAAACTAAACTTGACGGAAACAGTAACCCTAAACCCAATACACCACCACTGCATCACTTCCCCGACCACCCTCACTGTTTTCTGCCTTCATGTGCAAATTAGTTATTTGCTCAGTGTGGGAGGAAAACAATTGCAATGGGACATTTTGTCCCAAGAACGAAAACTCACGTGGGGTTCTCACTCATTATGTGGGAATGCCCCAATCACCTGGAATGCCATCGCTTCCAAAAATGTCTCGGTTACTCTCCCATCTCAATCACAATTTGATGCCGAGCTGTTGATTCATAACCATACTTGCAGTTACATTCAACATCATTATATCCTTGCCTGCTTACATGGCAGTACAACAGTCACCCGAAATGTGCTGTGTTGCAAACTACGATGCAGAGGAAGGTGAGTTGTAGGGGGCTCAAGCCAAGTTTATTCCGGGCTTACGCCTAACCAGGTTACTGGCTTATAACTCCCCAGGGGACAGGGTACTCAGGATCCACTACCCCGGGTCCCAACCTACAACCTCTCTCGTTCCCAGCTCCCACGGCGACCCCGCCTACGTCACGGGCTTCCCCCTAAATACCCCCTTGGGACATGAAGTCACCGTCCCCCCAAGGTCTCCCCCGACGTCACTCCCTGCGACGTCACTCACTACTCCTCTACATGTGTAACGTTTCTGTAGCTTAATAGTAATTACACCATGATCAGTCTAAAACGAATCGATTTTACTCTTGCCTTTGATATGATACATGCTTGCTTCATCAGTGTAACTCTATTTTAATTTTGTGAATTTGGTGACCCAGATCAGTTGCAAATTGAGACTGCACTGGTCTCGAGTTCTCAAATGGTTAAGCAAATAAACTTGACTTAACTCGGTCCAACTTTACCAATTTCCCTACAAGCCACGAACCCCTGGGGTCCTCGGCCCAATATGTCATGCAGCGCCCCACTTCCCCTACCCCACACCGCCCCCCCTTTCTATCTCTCCCCCCTTGCTCCTCCCCCCTCTCTTACCTATATAGCCTCTTGTTACAGCAGCCCTTTTGCCCACTTCAGCAATTGTTTCTTGCTGTCGTTGTTCCACCTGGTGACGGGACGCTTGTGTTGCGCCCGAAACGTCGTGATTTAATTTATTTTCTTTTATACCTACGTGACTTTACCGAAAGAACCAAAGAGTACAATCCTTATTTCTTTGGTCTCATATCCATACCCCCCACGTGCATTTTTTTCCTGTGTTTCCGTAGATAATCAGGTTGAGCGAAGGCTTTGTTACATACGCCACACTGGTACTTCTTCCCCTCCGTATGCAAGAAGCAGTGGGCCTTGAGCGCCGCCGCGAGCGAGAACGCCTTGCCGCACGCCTCGCACCTGTATGGCTTCTCTCCCGTGTGCACCAGCTGGTGACGCTTGAGCGTGGTGGCGCGCGAAAAGGACTGGCCGCACACCTTGCACTCGTACGGCTTCTCGCCCGTGTGCACGCTTCGGTGGTCCTTCAGGTGATCGGCCCGCAAGAACGCTTGCTCACAAACGTTGCATCGGTGAAGATTCTCGCCCGTGTGTATGCGCTTGTGATCCTTTAATTGAGAGGCACTTGTGTAGGCTCTGCTGCAAATGGCGCACTGGAAGGACCTCTCCCTCGCGTGATTAAATGTGTGATGCTTCTGCTGGACATCTTGCGAGATCGATTTGTCATCCGATTCATTCAGCCACCATTTGTCATTCGTGTGCATCTTCGAGTGGTGCCCGATGTCTCTGCAGCTGCGTATCGTTTGGCCGTACGCGTAGCAGCCACGGGCATTCACTCCCACGCGCATACGCTGGTGGCGCTTGAGAGTGCCGCTCTGTGAAAAGCTCTGTCCGCATTGATCACAGTGATGCAGCACTGCCCCAAGCTCCGAACTATGTTTGATGTTTGGCTGCTCCACATTCAAGCTCACAGTACTGTGATGGGCTGATGTTATTACTGACAGTGGCAAGGTTATACACTCGCTACCAGTAACAGCATCTGCTCTTTTCCTCTTCACCTTGGCAGCTGCCTCATGCTGCAGCAATGAAGACGGGTCAGGCTCAGCAGCTGTGGTGAGTCTCACTTGCTCCGAGTGCAGCGAGGTCACAGTTTGAATGGGGATTCCAAAATCCTCCTCAGAAACTCCTTCCCCTACTGAACAAAAGACATTGTAAAGATACATTACCCATATTAATTGCGCATTCATTACATGGTCACCTGGTAATTGAGGTTCATTTATGGAAAATGCACACAAATCGCACATGTACAAATGTGGTACATTGAAGTTTAAAAGCGTCACTGTTTACTCATGACAAAGCAAAAACCCAAATATCACGTTTGACTTATCTGATCTCACCTAAATGTATTACATCCTCCCTCATTGATTTGCAGTAATTCCTTGATTCAGTGGATCTCTTACATCTGGTTTTATCGACACTGTAACTCACAACAGATAATTCCATCTTGTGACCGACGTTGCACCTCACTGTCACGGGCCTCCCACTTTAATCTGATGACTCACTTGGGTGGGGATGAAAATGGATTCTGTGGAAGGAGTATCTGAACGAAATAAACACAAGCACCTTCAGCACACACATAAGATTCATAATAAGGGTTTTTGGGTTAGATCGCGTAAGTATAAATGTGTCGTAACCCTCCACCACCCAACGCAGCCAGTAAGTATTCTTTGGGTCTTTCGGTAAAGTCACATAGATAGGTTTCAAGAAAATAAAAAAAACCTATCTACGTGACTTTACCGAAAGACCCAAAGAATATGAATCCCTGCAGTCACAAAAGCTTTAAGTCAAGATTTACAGCCAGTAAGGTTTGTCACGTAAACAACACGCCAATTAGTTACTACTTCAACCCACCGGTGTGTTGGAGAGTAAATCTATACTGTGTTGGAGATTAAATCCTAACCAGTGGTCTGAAGTAGTAACTATTTGGCGCATTGTTTACTTTATAAACCTTACTGGCTGTGTCGGGTGGTGGAGGGTTACGACACATTTATACTTACGCGATCTAACGTAAAAAATCTTTATTATGAATAACATTGGTCGTGAAAGCCTACGTGTTAAACTGACACACATAAGACATCATGTGAATGGTAACTCTATAAGATATGTAATTTTTTTACCACATTCCAAAAGGTGTTCCTCTTCCACTTTCATCACAATCTCAGGACTGCCTTCATTGGCAGGTGGAGTTGAGTCCTCAGTGTACATCCGAGAGCCGTCCATGGCTCCCAGCCTGTCTACAGACAGCAGCAGCTCCCGGCTCAAGCTCCTGAACAGCATGAGCAGCACGTCCACCAGGCCTCCCAGCATCACGTTGCCAGGGGAGGAAGCGGCGTCGTCCCAGGGTGGAGTCCCAGCGTCGTGGGGCTCGGTGCCCTGCAGGACCTTCACCACCTGCCGCAGCACGGCGTAGAAGCCGAAGGGCAGGCGGTCGCGCGCCGTAGCCAGCAGCTCGGCCCGCACGAGGCCGTCCCCGATGCAGGCGCGCAGGACCCCGTAGTCCCGGATGCCCAGCTCCGAGTCCATGGCCCGGGCCACCTCCGCATTCACGCCTTGCGCCTGCAGCCACGCCGGGAAGTCCCCACTCGGCTCCAGCATTGGGGCGGCCACCACACATGCCATTCTGATGGACATTCAAAGTAGACATAGCCTTCAAAGCAATACAAAAATGCACAAGATACAATTGTGTTAACCCGAAGGCAAAACCTTAGTGGGCATTGTTTTATTTGTTCCTGCAACAATAACACAATGGCCAATTCTCGAGCTGTTCTGATGGAAATCCTAGATCTGCAAACCTCAGGGCAAGTGTTAAAGAAGTGGGTTTCTTCTCTATTTTCAGAAGCAGACATCCCAGGCCAATTGTGGCACGTATCTCTTTTCCACTGCATAACTCAGGGCCCACCGGGGCCATGTTGAGCCAACTCAGTGCAGCTCAGGGGCCAGATTGTTTTTCCACTGCAGAAGCCGACCCACGCCGCTGTTATCAAATGTAATGAATGAGTAGAGATATGTGATCCTTATGGCAGTACCCCGGGGTAACAAGTAATACAAAATTGCCGAGGCAATTAAAGATTTTATTTCTGGGACACTATTTTTCCAGGGGTGTACTTAACTCCGCGATTGAGGTACCAATCAATCCGAAATCAGTGCTATGCCGCGATGTCGAAACGCAGCGAGTACAATTGCGCTGAAACTCTAAATGCTCACATGCACCATAGTGCATCGTGTACAGCTCGTCGAGATGAGTCAATTACCGCATCGCCGACCATCAACAGACTAAAGATGACTGCATCACGGACATTATGCGAGAGCCGGGGTACTACGGTAACCCGTGGTACCGCCATAAGGTTCACCTTCGATGGCGCAGTGATACTTTGTCTTCACGAATTGAGGTGTCTGGTGAGGCCAGCATATCATGGTTTGGTTCTAGTTTCGCAAAAGCCAGTGGAAAAACCACCTCCGCTGGTTCAAATTTGCCGGCAGAAAAGGGGTCTAGAAAGACGCGTGGTGACACACCCCTGGCGCTTTGAAGGCAGGGTCGATGGATTAGATGGACAACGTCCTGTCGGCTTCCAAATTCTGATCATATTTAGAAGACGTTTACATCTTAATGTCCTGATTATTTTTAAAACACATTTTATTCATTTGGTGTGGCCCTGCCAAGGCAACCTCGAAATTCAATAAATCTAGGAGCAAACCTGGAAAAGCAGTTGCGAGTAGCAACATCATCAATACCAGCTAACATCACACGCCTCACCAAAGAGAAGCAGTTCCAGCCATTGCACATTCGAGGTGAGTTAATTAAATGTTTGACCAAATATAACAGGCAAATTTTTAAGTTGATAATTTGGTATGGCCCGCGAATGATGTTATACATATCCAAATGGCCCTTGGCAGAAAAAAGGTTCCCCATCCCTGATGTAGATAATTATGAGACAATCTGGGGGAACAATGGGAAATAATCAAAAGTGCAACCTTGAAATCGCTTGCTCCGCGCCACTACCGACGGATATCACCTCCACATTTAGTTGGTGTGTCTGCCTACTCTTCCACACGCTGCCATACCTGTCAACCCCTTATCGGTGCCCTACCTTATTAGAGACCAATTCAGACCATGTTGATCACCCCGTGCCCCTCATAAATCTCAACGTTGATCCTGCAAAGTCCCATCACAAGGGAGAAGCACAAATGGACAAAAATATGCTACTAAACAAAATGGTTTTCATGTATTAATTTTGATAATTGGTGTCAACGATGCAACTTATCATGCTACCGTCTGTGATCTTACATGCTGATCCTGCTTTGCTTGATATGTGGATGCACATACTTACATTGTAAATGTACAACAATAAACACAGGAAACTATTAAGGGTTAAACTACTTTTTTATTTGGCCGTATGATTCTTTTTCTCTGCCCATATTGAAACGTCTGTACGTCGTATGGACCTGAAAACTACATTTTCCTGTACAAGAATACGGGTAAACCGTATGGGTTGACAGGTATGGTATAGTGTATAGTAATGTAGTGTATAGTTGTGTAGTATATAGTGTAGTGCATAGTAGTATATAGTGTAGTGTATATCATACCTGTCAACCCCTTATCAGTGCCTACCTTATTACAGACCAATTCAGACCTTGTTTGTCACCCAATGCCCTTATAAATATCAACGTTCATCCTACAAAGTCCCATCACAAGGTAGAAACACAGACAAACAAAAGTTTGCCCATATTGAAAAGGCTATCCGCTGTATGGACCTGAACACTCAAAAGTCCCCTGTACAAGAAAACAGGTAAAACCGTATGGGTTGACAGGTATTCATATTCTTAGGTTTATTCGGTAAAGTCACGTAGGTAAAAAAATTTAAATTAATAAAATAAAAATCACGACGTTTCGGAGGCAACACAAGCTTCCGTCTTCAGGTGGAACCGTCACAGCACGACAGCTGTATCAAGTGCTGTGACGGTTCCACCTGAAGACGGAAGCTTGTGTTGCCTCCGAAACGTCGTGATTTTTATTTTATTTTATTAATTTACAATTTTTTTACCTACGTGACTTTACCGAAAAAACCTAAGAATATGAATCCTTGCAGTCACGAAAGCTTCAAGTCTAGAATTGACAGGTATTGCCTGACGTTGACCGGACGTCTCGAAAGCTATGACAGATGTTAAAACGCACTCGCCTTGAGGAGGAATAAAGTCTTCACTTTAAACAAAAAGAGGCTCTGGGTAGAGGGGGCGTGAGGCATTGACCACGTTGGTGAAGAAGCAGCAGCAGCAGCTGTTGTTGTTGTTGATGGCGGCAACCAACGTGTTTCTCGCAGTTCGCCGATTCGAAGGGTTAGGGACCGCGGCGATGTTGAACTCCGCCAGTTTAACACAAAGTCAGGATTAGGGCTTGCTTTCGTGACCAATATAATCCAAAGGAGGGGGCATTTCTTTTCGGGGTTAGATGTCGTAAATGTGCGTCGTAAAAACCCCCGCCAACACCAATTAGGAAGGTTTTTGTCGCAACTCTCGTAAGGTTTTCCACAACCTCTGGCTGTTGCCTGATGAAGCTGGTTGTAAACACCGGTTAAACGTCGTACTAGAATGGTAAATGTTGTGGCTTTGCTCTCAAACACACAACCGACCGGTGTGCTGTAGTAGTAACGAATTGGCAAGTTTCGTTGACGTGACAAACTCTGCCTAATTGTCCGTGTCGGGTGCGCGGCGGCGGGTTTAACGACACATTTGTAATTGCGCGATCTAACCCCAAAAAAACCCACCACTGTGGATTGAACACCGCGTTGATTTGTTTTTAACGTGTGAAGTCAACAGACCCAGGGGATAAGGAGTCCCCAGTTGCAAAGTGTGACCAGAGGCGGTCACCAAAGTTCCAAATACAAAAACAAGTTCAGCGATGAAGCAAATATAAATAAGGGCAAAAGCAATGGTGGTCACGTAAAAAAAAAAGTATTGCACGAATATAAACCTACGTTGAAAACATTGCTGCTATTATTATAGCCGGATCCCCCAAATTCCGTAAAAATAAAAAACCCAGTAAAACTGTTATTCGTGACGCCTGTGTAAGACAAACATCACAGTTTATGAACAATTTTACCCCGTTTAAACGTGAAAGAAAAATCACGGATAACACTGATCTACAGCCAAAATGCTTCCGAAATAAATGTAGTGCAACTTTACTAATTCTGGGTCACTGAGAATGAAAATGATGCTTAAAATTGTTGATTGGCTCGAGTTTTCAAGATATGCTACTGGGTCAGTATATACGACCCTTGACTTGGGAATTGCGGAGGATAAGTGAATTATAAAGGGAAGGAATCTCAATTTAAACCAGAAATTACTCAAGTACATCTTTGACTGGATCTATGAATACATCTATGACTGGGTTTGGACAGTACTTGCTTTTTGAGCAAAACAATGAATGATGCAATCTGAACCTGGTATTGCATCATACATGATATGAATTGCATCATGTTATTCCTTGAAGTCATGGATGATGCCATCATAACTAGGCTTACATCCCTCTGCTGAACAAATTGCCCTATATAAGCTCTAGAAATCATGCAGTGGCATGCTCTCTTATTTGTCAGTGTATGATTTTGCAAAGGGACAAAGTGAGCAGAGATGCCTCGTACTTGGGTGAACAAAACAGGTAACTTCTGCTATGTTTTGTGAAGTGACATTTGCATCACAAAAGCGCAGTATAACGGTTAAGAAAGCCTATCACCTTTATTTTGGCTGCAAAATTGGAGATCAGGACAAGATGTGGGCCCAACACATATGCTGCAACACTTGTGCAACAAATCTTCGCGAGTGGTTGAGCAGGAAAACTATTCCTTTTGCATTGCCAATGATTTTGAGAGAGCCAACAGATCATATCAGCAATTGTTACTTCTGCATGGCACCTCCAGTTGGGAAAGGTGTATCAAAGAATAAAATGTGGACTGTACATTATCCAAAAATTCCATCAGCTATATGCCCAGTACCCCACGGAGAAGGACTGCCGGTTCCTGATGCACCAGAATCATTCTCACTTGAGTCAGACAAGGAATAGGATGAAACTTCTGGTCCTAAACCATCAAAGTTCTGCTGTTTTCTCTGCGAATGGGATAGTGGTGCGAGTGATACCCACTACATTAAGATAGATTGGCCACTCCGACAGTCATTGGAGCCTGGGAGGAAAAGTGTTCAGCATGCACCACTTGTTGAATCAAGGAAGAACTGCGGAGTAGTGAGTGACGAGCATGGCGAGCGATTTTACCAGGACATTGCAACAATGGAGAAACGCTATCAGGGCAAATGGAGCCCATCAATGCTTGCAGACTAACGCTGGACAATGACACGAGACGCTCCATTTAATGAATACAAGAGACAAGCCAAGAAGCGCCGAGTAGACACTGAATAAGGACTAATCTATGTACATAATAGTTTTTTGCCTTTTGTTTCATAATACATTTTATTTATATAACCCTTTTGCTGATTTTATAAGTGTTACATGAACAGGACAAGTGACATATTATCATGTAAAGCAACCGTAAACACATGACAAGACATAGGTTGACAATTTATTAGTAAAACTCTATCTACACAATATACATTGACGAAAAATGTAAATACTTAAATATCTTGGGAAGAGTAGAAAATCAGTTTTTTTAATTGTCATGTTTGAATTCAGCACATTAAAATCCATAACAGCACATTTCATTCTAGATTTGAAGTTTTCGTGACTGCAGGGATCCATACTCTTTGGTTGTTTCGATGAAGTCACGTAGGTATAAAATAAAAGAAATTTAATCACGACGTTTCGATTGCAACACAAGCAATCACCATCAGGTGGGAAAACCACAGCAAGAAAATGTAGCAAAAATTGTATTGCTGTGGTTTTCCCACCTGATGATTGCTTGTGTTGCAATCTAAACGTCGTGATTTAATTTATTTTATACCTACGTGACTTTACCGAAAGAGAACATTTTTATCTCTGAAGCAGACGACGTCTAAAAATGTGTAGACCAGTGTAATCGGATCGATTTGCCAACGAACTTCAATTACCTGTGAAAACTTGCGAATTCGCCCATGTCGTGGGAAAACGAACGGGGGTGAAGACTTGCGGATAATAGGATAAATTTGCCGGGTAACCCCGCTTAAGAGTCAAGTGAGGGAACACGTCCCTGAGGACGACCATCGCGGAGATGGAGCAATTAGATTAGCCCATCTGCTGAAAGGGAGATGGATTATAGCACCGCAGCAGCTTGACATGCCTTTGTCAAGCAGTGGATAGACCATGGCTGACGATTATATTCCAAAGTGAGGAACCCACGAGACAATCATGTACATACTGCATTTATTGTGACGTCCATTCACACCCATTCAGAATGAACCTTAAAGAAAGAGCGTCAATATGAGAAGTGACTCGAAAATAGAAATTTAAAGGGTGGTCCAAATGTCTTGTGACTCTCATTAAATTCTCAAAAATGTAAAAAATTTTTACGTAATGTTGATTTAAAACATAAATAGAGGCAAAGGAAAAATATGTTCGGGGTCAATTAATTGGGGGGGGGGGGTCACTAGACATCTGGATCACCCTGAACAGCACTTTCCACAATGCATTATATCGTATTCAGCGCCAAACATAAAAATGTTTGTATGTTTACATTTATTAGGATGGAAACAGACAATTCAGGAATTGTATACGATACGACCAATGCAAATAAAAGTGAAAAGAAAATATACAGCACAGCGATACCAGTAGTGCTGTTATACGTGGGCACTCAGGAAGACAACAATAAGGATACCTTTGAAGGATAGAGATGAGAATGCCGAGATGGATATTGGGATTTCTGTATGCATGTAGGTATGGTGAACTTATTTCGCATCATACGTAGCCAACCGTGCTAATCTGAGGTGCGGGGTAATCAGAGGTGCAGATGAGAAGGACATTAACAGGTTCCAAAGTAAAGGCTACGAATATTTTCAAAAAGGCGAGGGAGGCCAGACCTAAATGGTTCGGGTATGTGTTCAGAAGAGACAATACAGATCTGATTATACAAAAACCTTATCCATCGCGGGTTTTGCCATCGTGGATTTAACCATTCGCGTCAATTTCGTTGAGGTATCGTTCGCCGATGGAGCTCCTTGGGTTCTCGACCATTCACGCTCGAGTGTGAGATTCCTATACAGTATGCATCGTACCCAAGTACTGTGCTCCAACTGCACTCTGCTAACGATGCTGCTACGGAAGAATGTATGTACAGGTACTCCTCTACCTATGAACTTTTAGAGATACGAACAAACCTGTCCGTATGACCAGTCGCCTGTTCGGACCGAGAGTTATAAGCTCAACCGCCACGCAATAGATGGTGGCATTTACATCTGCAAAACATGAAGAATCAGTGGCATCTACGTCTACAGGAGATTATACAACTTTTAAAGCGATTCCCCGTGTTTAGTGTACATGTCGTACAACATGTTTGGAATCAATAGGCGTAAAGTTGGACTCATGAACAAATCGACTTACGAACAGACCTCTGGAACCTAACTCGTTCGTAAGTAGAGGAATTCTTGTATGTTTAACTTCTTTCACACCATACGTAGCCAACTGTGCTAATCGCGGTTGCGGGGGAAGTACAACAAACTAAACACAAAAAGCAGTTTTAATGAAATAAGTTTTGAATATAGATTCCTAATATCAGAAGAGCGTTCCAGACGGCCACAAAAGCGCATCTGAAAGCGAGCGATGCAGAATAAATGTGCAATCATCATCAATCATAATAAAAAGCGTTTTTTTCTTTTTTAAACTGCATATTTACTGTACATGTCATTGACCTCATTTTTAGGTTAATGCAGAGTCAAATAAAACAAAATGACGAGGTGTCGCAACACGAACAGTGAACCAAACCCTTTTTTTTCCATATGCCTTCGAGTTTGAGGATCGCTGATTTGCCGATTGCAGCTATTTTCAAGAAGGTAACCCCCGTGATGGGCAAGGTTTTGGTGTATAAGGGCTATGAAGATGTACGCCACCTGTGCAGGACAGGGAAAGGGGAGCCCGGGGGTGAGATTGAAGGGTGGAATGAGATATGACAGGTGGGGAAGAGGCAAAGAATTAACGCACATGGATAAAGACAATCTGAGCAGCCGACCACAACCTTTGATTTAGAAGAGAAGTGCTTTGTGTACAAAATAACAGGCGGAGTAGGGGGGGTGATAAATAATATTACCAGCCAAAACATTTGAGTCTTGTCTTGTCCGGACTGGTCTTTACATTAAAGGTGCCCTAGGCAAACAATGTAACTTCCCTTTTAAATAATAATTTATACTCCGATGCATTTGAACCTTCCTCCATAAGTCACTTAATTGTTGCGACAATCCTCTCCTCAGGAAACATTCTCTATCTACATGTATATGCTGAACCTCCGCCTTGTCCAGTCTTCTCACCTCTCTCCACTCTTTACCAGATGTACCACAGCGGGGTCGGCACTTGCCCTGGTGCAAGGAAATAAATTGGGGCCTCCTTCAACTTTCTCTCCCTCTTCATAGCTCAGTGCCTAGGCCCTTTACCTTTGGACCCTGGGCCTCATTTACAGTCGCACTGCCTATACACCCAAAACTCTGCACCGCCACCGGACCGCGAACCACTAGGTCATCAGCCCGCTAAACTCTGGGGCGGCGGCGATCTGCATCATTTGTCCGGACGGTAACCCGTGCGTTTGCTCATGTTTCCTCAGAGTGGTGGCTCGCGAGAAAGCTTTGCCGCACACTTCGCACTGGTGCTGCTTGCCCTGCATGTGCACGTACTGGTGGTTCTTGAGGGTAGTGGGGTGCGAGAACGCTCGGTCGCACACTTCGCAGCGGAACGGCTTCTCACCCGTGTGCACGCGTTGGTGGCTCTTCAAGGTGGTGTCCCGGGCGAAGCTGCGGTTGCACACCTCGCACACGTATGGCCTCTCCCCCGTGTGTATGCTCTGGTGCCGTTTGAGCGTCGCGGTGTGCGAGAACGTCTTCCCGCACGCGTCGCACCGGTAGGGCTTCTCGCCCGTGTGCACGTGCTGGTGTCGTTTCATCGTGGCGGGCTGCGAGAACGTCTTGCCACAAACGCCACACCGGTAGGGCTTCTCGCCTGTGTGCACACGCAGGTGGTTCTTGAGCGAGAAAGCCCGCGCGAACGCCTGCCCACACACCTCGCAGCGGTACGGCTTCTCGCCCGTGTGAAGGTGCTCTCTCAGCTGGGACGACCAGGATTGAGATTTATCGAAGGGACTCTCCTGCATGTGCGCCGACTGGCACAAGTCTCCCATCTCGCGCGTGCGCGTCTTCCGGCAGCGGCTCCGGAATGTGCGTCCGTACGCGTTGCGGCCGTGCGGGTTCCCCGTCGCGTGTGTGAGCCGGTGGCGCTCGAGGGAGCCGCTCTGCGAGAAGCCACGACCGCACTGCTCGCATCGATACGGCGTCACGGTCCGTTTATTTAAAACGAACCGAGCGTTGCTCAACTTTGGGAAGCATGGTCCAATCGTGCCATGTGCAAGCGACAGACTGCTTTCGTTCCACTGCTGCTGTTCCTCGTTATCCTGACTCGCGGTGTTTAGTCGGGGCAACGGTGTTCCCCGGAGCGATGATGTTGATCCCTCTGCCACTGCCGGAGATGTGTGCTCGAACGGAACAGTTGATATTTCTCTTTTGAGCTCGACTGCAGAGTCCTGCTGTGGTGACGAGGGTGGGCCAGGTTTGGCGGTGCAGGGGAGCCCCACTCGCTCGTACAGCGAAGTCACGGCTTGAATGAAGATGCCGGGGTCTTCCCCTGGGGATCCTTTATCTACAGGATGCAAAAATTTCACACGCTATGGAGCCAGGCCGATGACAAAATCACTCAGAATGCGCCCCACCTTGTCATCTCAGCAGGGTTAAACCTCGATAGTGCTTGCTTAGATCGTGATTAGTTGGGTGACCGTCATGAATAAAGAGATTGTCATAGGGCTGCACGTCTACGCTCCTTGCCTACACCAAACCCGCACTATCGAGCATGAAGTACAGTCAAATAATCCCCATTGGCCGCAGTGGGGATGACCTCAACCAGCACTGGAACGACAAAGGGTTTGTACCTATACAGGTTAAGCTGCATTACATCCAGCGTATGCTCCTTTTATTGTTATCTACACGTTAGGACAATTCAGTTGTCGCCAATGTAGCTGAAAACCACACTAACTCCTAATTGCCTCCTGCTAGAGCGAAATTGCCAACTCATTTATCAAAGTGATAGTGTGCTTGCTTACGCTTCACAATACCTCCAAACTTCCCGAAATGTCCAGCTCACCTCTACCAGCCCCCGCACTCGGCATGGGAGTAATCGTTTATTTCTAATGGACTACTTCGATTGCCTTAAGAAATTTTCCAGCAATCGATTACTTTCTCACTCATCGATTAGTTGAACGATTCCTCTCGAATATGGAAAATAACAATAGATTTCGGTAATCAGGGAGAGCCTCAGAGTCGAGCCGCTGCTCCTCCGGATCGAGAGGAGCCAGTTGAGGTGATCTCGGCACCTTGTAAGGGCACGTCCCAGTGGGTGAAGACCCCGCAGCCGGTCCAGGACACGCTGGCGGGACTATGTCGCTCGGCTAGCCTGAGAATGCCTGGGAATTCCCCAGCAAGAGTCGCCAGGAAATGGAGGTTTGGACAACCTTACTCAACATGCTGCTGCCACGACCCTCACCCAGACAAGCAGACTGAGAAACGAACGATAGATTTTACTAAAATGTTCTTCTTCTTTCGTATGGCTGATGTAGATGAAGAGCGACAACTACAATTTTACATTCTGGTGGTCAAGCCAGATAACCACGTCAGGAGCAGCGGAGTGTATTGCTATAATCTCTCCTTCATATTTGTGGATCGGGCATTGCGTCGTTATATGTGGTATGGTCTGTTCTGGATGACCACAGTTGCACACTGGACAGTTTTTAATAAAATGTTCATCGAGGCACTGGAGGAGAATGGGGAGAAGAACTTGGACGCCTGGTGCGTGTGTGCATTGTGTCTGTGTGTCTGCTGCTGGTAAAATTAACCTCCACACACGTCCATATGCTTACAGCTCATACTTGTGATGGTGATGGGGGAGCCTGGGGAGGGGGCGGCAGTGGCAGTGGTCGGGGGAACAAGTGAACATCTGTGAAAACGAGCTTCATAGCTCATCGGACTTCTCCAGGATAAAAAAAAGGATTCTGATTCTGAGTGTGTTAGAGTTTTACATGCCCTATAGCCAACCCCACCCCCTCCTTTCCTACTCACTGAAGTCACTTCGTATTGCCGTACCCAGTAATCGATTAGATATCGATTATTCGATCCAAAAATATAAGTAATCACGATTTCTCGATGTTGTAATTTGCCCACCCCTACCCTAAAAACCGGTGCTCACTCTACAGGCCACAACAAATTCGCGCCACCAAACTATCACCACCGCTGCTTGCTTTGTTTACAACTATTTGGCTACCCACTCAAGCGGCGACCTGCTTGAGGGCAGTTATAAAGGTGGCCATTGTGCAAGGTCTCTATTTTAATATCCAGTAGGTTCAAGAACAAACAAAACTGGTTTTCGGTAATAGTTATGCATTGGATGGTGGAAGAACCCACGTGTTTAATGTGTAGCGTCTATACGCACCCTTGCTGTCGCACGCTTCCAATTGCATCTCGCCGCTCGTCTGGAAAGGGATGAAGCTGGAGTCGGCTGTGGGCGAGTCTGGAAAAAGCACAAACACTCCGTCAGTACTCGCTTGAAAACGCACACGATAGATTAGAAGAACCGTATTGTTTAAGTTCATCATTGTAGTTTCTACCACATACCACATCCACGGCAGTATTCCTCTTCTACTTTAATTACGATCTCGGGCTTGCTGTCAGTGGCAGGTGGAAAGGATGCTTCAGAGCATGTCCTAGGGCCTTCTATAGCTCCCAGCCTCTGTACGGACAACATCAGCTCCCTGCTCAAGCCGCTGAACAGCGCGAGCAGCACGTCCACCAGGCCTCCCAGAGTCACGTCGCTAGCGGAGAAAGCGGCGGCGTCGTCCCAGCACGGCGTCCCAGCGTCGTGGGGATCGGCACCCCGCAGGGTCTTCACCACCTGCCGCAGCACGGCGTAAAAGCCGAAGGGCAGGCGGTCGCGCGCCGTGGCCAGCAACTCGGCCCTCACGAGGCCATCCCCGACGCAGGCGCGCAGGACCCCGTAGTCCCGGATGCCCAGCTCCGAGTCCATGGCCCGGGCCACCTCTTCGTTAACGCCCTGCGCCTCCAGCCACGCCGGGAAGTCCCCGCTTGGCTCCAAAACCGGGGTGGCCACTGCACACGCCATCCTAGTGGGATGAGCAGAATAATCATGAAACGTATTTATATTGGCATGTATTAAATCAAATGCAGTGTTGTGTATGGACTGGCCTTTTCCATTTTAAAGCTCACCTCTTTTTTTATCCCCCATTCTCCTCCTCTTCCATTCCCTGGTGCCTCTACTCCTTCCCATCCCTCTCCTACCCTTTTGTGAACCAAGTACCCTCCATTGCAGTCACTCATTCCTCAACCCTTACACGCCCCTGTTATCTACATAATTGCATTGTCACCTTTTTTTTTTAAACCATATCAAACGCCTTCAGTGAAGGCATGCTATAAATATAACATTCGGTGATATACTTTTTCTTATATACATAGTGTAGGAGTACTCATCTTCAGTAAGAACCCTGAACTAGTAATAATGGCAATTCCACATTCTCATGGCGGGATCCAATGTCTCCATTTGACAATCACCGCTCACGTCCACAAAGCGGTACCTATTTTTATGGACTTGAATAAGGACGATAACAAGCGGCTCTAACCACAGAGCCACCTGTATGTTGGAACTTCTTTCGCGCCGTACGTAGCCAACCGAAGTTAAGCATGCTTGAGCTTGTATTAGCACAACCATGCACAGCAGGCTGTTATTGGGCACGAGCCTGCATGGTGGGTAGCAGAGAGAAATACAGCAACATGTATTGTTGTACTAAAGTGCCACGTTCAGCGAGGATCTACTGGTTTTATATATCTTACAATGATTACAGGGAATTAATTAATAAAAAAAACTATGCAAATTTTTTATAAGATTTGCAATTTAAAATTGTGTTTGTTTGCATGTTCACCACAAGTACGTGTGGTTATTACATACCTGTCAACCCATACGGTTTACCCGTATTATTGTATAGGGAAATTGAGTTGTCAGGTCCATACGGCGTACAGCAAGTTTCGATACGGGCAACAACACAATAATGTCTATTTGTTTGTGTTTCTCCCTTGTGATGGGACTTTGTAGGGTGAACGTTGAGATTTATAAGGGCACCGGGGTGACCTATAAGGTCTGAATTTGTATGTAGTAAGGTAGGTACTGATATGGGGTTAGCAGGTAAGGGTTCATGCAGATTTGATTCCTTGCAAAAGGTTTCTATTTGCTGTTTGAACATCTTAACACCCTGTTTTATTGCCAGAAAGGGTATAAACCTATTCTTATTTTTTCATACATTGTGTTGAACTTCTTTCGGACCGTACGCAGCTAACCGTGCTATTCGGGAGGTGGGGGGCGGGGCAAAATAAACTAAAACACAAACAAAAAGCAGTTCGAAAGAAATGACATTTAAATCTTGACGATTTGAGTGCACCTTAGCACCATGCAAAAACCAAAAAAATATGCTGGGGGCGCTGCTCGAGGTAAATTACTTAAATCCGTCCATAATGTAGGTTTTTTGGGGGTTAGATCGTGTAAATATAAATGTGTCGTTAAATCCGCCACCACCCGACACAGCCAATTAGTAAGGGGTTTGTCACGTAAACAGAACATGGCCAATTTGTTACGAGTACAGCAACACCGGTTGCGTTGGAGAGCAAATCCACATTTACACTCTGAGTCCGACGTTTCGCCAGTAAACACATTCCTGCGGAGGGAGCTGGTAGGAACGTCGGGTTGTTCAGTCAATGGCCAGGGTCAACGGCGGCGTGGTGTATTCCGCAAATATGCCCGACTGTGAGGGCGGGCACAAGCCGGCGTGAGTAGGTTAAACGTTGAGTTTTATAAGGGCACCACGGGGTGACCAGCCCCTCCCCACCCAGCCCCACCCCTCACCCAGCCCCACCCCACCCAGCCCCTCCCCACCCTCCACCCAGTCCCTCCCCACCCAGCCCCACCCCTCCCACCCCCTCCCCTCCCTCCCCACCCCTCCCCTCCCCACCCAGCCCCTCCCTGCACGACGGACGGACACAATAATTCCCTGTGGGCTGGTGTAACCAGGAGGTTCCTACCAGTAATTACAACCAGCATCATCAGGCTGCCTTGTCCAAGCTTAATAAATCTGACTTGCATATAACGCAGTCACGATTTACGTCTATTTAGTGACCATGCTTACCATTTTTGTCTATTTTAAAACTCCTATCATCGTTTGTTTTATATTTGTTTGCTGCTGTTAACTTGCTGACACCCCCGTGCCCCACACTGAACATCTGTAAACAACAACAAAAGAGCTTGATGGCTCAGCGGATTCCTCCTCTATTCTTAAGTGAAGATGCCGATTCTCAAATCCGTTCCTCATTAAACCGAGCACAGACGAGGTTACCTTTGTACGGAGGGAGTTCGTGCGGTCGAGCAAGTTGATGACTATGGGGGGGTGATGGTTGTAGGCTGCGTTATACTTCGTCGTTTTTTACGATTTACTTAAGACTGCCCTACTAAGCCTTTGTTGTGTGTTTTTTGTTTCAATGCCCTGCTGGATGAGGACCTTTCACCGCGTGGTCTTGTCCACACCGCACACCTGTCAACCCATACGGATTACCCCGTATTCTTGTAACAGGTTAATTGAGTTGTTTAGGTCCATATGATGGTAAAGCCGTTTCAATACGAGCAAAACAACAATTAAAAAAAAAATGTCTTTGTTTGTGATTCTCCTCCTTGCGATGGGACGTTGCAGGACGAACGTTGAGATTTAAGAGGGCACGGGGTGGCCGATAGGGTCTGAGTTGGGTCTGTGATGAGGTGGGGCACTGATAAGGAGGGGGATGACAGGTGGTTTGTCCATACTTCACCACGCCGGTCCACGCGTGATCGCTCTCCCGTCAAAGTAAACAACGCGGCACCCACTCGACAATCACTTTTTTCCCGCACCGCTGATTCGCGACCCTAGGGGGGGAGGGTCCGTGGCAATTTGACCGTTAAAGTCACGTAGATTGGAAATAATAAAATAAAATAAAATTCAAATCTAGAAATAATAATACAATTTTACACAAGCAATCATCATCACAGCAAGAAATCTTTTTTTTATTTTCTTGCTGTGGGTTTCACACCTGATGATGATTGCTTGTGTTGCAATGGAAACGTAATGAGAATTTTTTAATTTTATTTTTATTATTTCCCTTCTACGTGACTTTACCGAAAGAACCAAGGATATGAATCCCTGCAGTCACGAAAGCTTTAAATCGAAATTTGACCGATGTCATATTCACTCTGTCGTGTGTGCGCGTGTGAGTGTCACTCATTTTCAGAGGCGGTGACACTTTCAGCTGATAAGACATCGTCAAATTTTTTTTTTAGGGCCGCCACAAATTTGAAAGCATGGGGGGGAGGGGGCGGGGTGACAGCATGATAATGATTATGCTGCGGGGTGTTTTCAAAATCGTCCGGATTTAAACGAGTTTTCAATCTAGGGGGCGTCCATAAATGACGTCACGCGATTTTGGACGATTTTTTACCCGCCCCCCCCCCCCCTAGTCACACGGCGTCACAAAAAGTCAGACCCCCTCTCAAATATGACGTCACAAAGCTATGCCCCCACCCAAAAAAATATATAAAACATGCTTCAAATCGCTTTAAGCTATTGTCATTGCAGTGCGTATTTAATGTGGCGCTGCACTCTGATGTTGTAGGAGAAAACATTTATTAAAGTCTATTTAATTAAGTAGAACGTGTCTAGATTTATTTAAAGTTGCGCATTTTGATGTGACGTCACATTTCTCAAACCCCTCCCCCCCCGCCGTCACACATCGTCACAAATGTCTGACCCCCCCCCCCCCCACCTAGGTGCGTGACGTCATTTAAAGACAGCCCCTAGATTATTTAAAGTTGCATAGCTCCAGTGGCTTCCTAACATCGGAAGGAAGAGCGTTCCAGACGGCCGCAAAAGCGCATCTGAAAGCGCCGCGCGATGCGGTGACCGCCCGTCTTTGTTCGACGGCTGAGCCAAAAGCCGCCACCGCCGCTGCTGTCGAGGATGACCGGAGTTCTTTATGCTCTGGTTTGTGATCTTTGACGAGAGATCAGCAGCGAGGAATTGTCGCTAAATCCCCCCCCCCCAACTTGTGTTTAAAAGGGAAAAAAGAGTTGTGGGTGCGTCCTATGTGTAACGTCGTCCCCCTTTGCACATCCGCAACATCAAATGCACTCTGACTTTCAAGAAACATCTAAAGGCCTCCTCGATGTGTTCGGTGGATTGACTATGGCTGATGATGGCTAATGGAGAAAATACATTTGATGGAAACTCTAAGAATAATTCAGAAGTACATAATTCCAGTAGAATGTTTATTGTTGGAAATGTACCATCTGCCGGAAAAGGTGAATAATACATATTTAAAAAACAAAAGAACAATCCAGATAAGGCAAAGATGTGGATTGGGCAACATTCTAAGAGGTGGCAATTTTCTTTGAAGGGCGATGGCACACACGATGTGGAGAGGCCCTCATCCAGCAGGTGACGGTGCATTTCTGGAAGAATAAGAGATTTTGTCCGTCTATGAGTAATCTTACAGACTGTCCCCGATTTATGTCCTCGTTGACACACAAAAAATCAAATGCACGTTGTTTCGAGTCTTAAATTGTATTTAATTGTGTTTAAAAAATGCGTTAAGAACAAAGTTCAAACTGCACATGAGCAATGCGTATACAGTGTGAAAGTAACAGACTTCAGCATTGGAGAATTTTGAAATATTATTTCTGCCTTGAGAAAAACAAAGCCATATGTCTCCACTTCAACACTTCCCAAAGGTGAGAACAGCGTCGCTGTCCCCAAAATGTTGACTGATAAAAACAAATCTCCATTTAGCAGCCCAGCAGAGCCATTGGTGGAAATTCCACATTCCTTTGGAGGGGGGGTCACTCTTTCCAAACGATAACCATTGTTGGCTTCACCCTGGAAAGATCATTGGCTGTTAATCCCTGACCAGGATTTTAAGTCCCAGCTTTCGCATTGAGTCACTACCTAGGTGTATCGATATAGTGCTAATCCCATATTGTGCACTGGGTTTCTTCAGGAACCCCGGTTTTCTCTCCAATGCAAATTATAAGTAACCATTATAAAACGGTTTAACACGTAGGCTTTCGCGTAAATATATAAATGTGTCGTTAAACCCACCACCACCCGGCACAACCAATTAGTAAGGTTTGCCACGTAAATAGAACGTGTCAATTCGTCACTAGTACAGCACACCGGTAGTTTGGAGAGCCAAGCCACAACATTTACAATCTGAGTACGACGTTTCACCAGTAATTTCAACTAGCTTCATCAGACGACAGCCAGATTCATGGAGAAGTTCTCCTGTTTCTTTCCATAAATAGAGGGGTAGATGTGATGACAACACTTGTGTGCTCTTCTTGCGCGAAGTTTGGAGAGGATTCATGAATGCATATTTATAAATGACTATGGATATCCATTGCCATATGGGTTATTTATACGGTAATCAACATACACTATGCATGCACGTTATGCGAGCCCATTCTTCTTGTACTTCTTGTCGATTGAGTGTACTAAAATAGCCGTAAAATTTTAACTGTTCGGATAGTTACAGACTTAGTGCTGCTTGGAAGCGAATAATCAAATAATACATTCTTTAAATGCATGCCTATACAGGCCACCATACTTCAATAGGGATTACCGTTGGTACGGCTATTTTAGTACACACAATCGACAGGATATACAAAAGCAATGGGCTCGCATAATGCGCGTGTATAATATACGCCCATTTTTTTTCGTTCCTGGGTAGTGAGTGGTATTTTCTAATTGCGTATGCCTCAAAAGTACAGAAAGTGGCTATTATTATTCCCCACAAACTTTGCTTTTGTGACCAGGACACAAAAGCGAAGTTAATAATCCACTCCATTAATAACACTGTGTAACAAATTTATAATGTTTTTGTTCCTGGGTAGTAAGTGTTATTTCCTAATTGCTTATGCCTCAAAAGTACGTAAAATGGCTATTATTCCCCACAAACCTTGCTTTTGTGACCAAGACAGTGATATTTTTTAATTTACCTATTTTCATTGAGAAAACGTGTGCATTTGTGTCATTCCTTCACATAAAGTCAGAAATGGTGTTACTAAGTGTTACCATATAAATAACCTAAAGGGTAATGGATAACCACTCATTTATACGTGTAGCATCGGTGTCAGGCATTGTATATAGCATTGTTATGGACACTTACCTGTAGTAGCACACATGTGTCCATAGGGGGTGGTAACCCGGGATAGGCAGGATGAGCCGAGCCGTTGGGACACGAGGCTCTCCCAACCCCAAGAGAGGGGTTGGGGGGGATATTCCAGAGCCCCCGAGAGAGTTCCAGAAGGGGGGCATGGCCAGGGGTGGAGAGACCCGGGCACGAGTATAAAAGCCGGACCTCTGGACGAGTCCGGCGGTCTTCGTCAAGCTGAAGAAGACCAGCTAGGCTAGGACCCTGGAAACCCCCAGACCCGCCGTCCTTCTAAGGGCCGGGCTGTAGTGGGCCAGTGGTCGACCCTGGAAACCCCCGGGACCCGACGTCCTTCTAAGGGCCGGGACCGAGTGGGCCAGTGGTCGGGACCCGAGGACCTTGGCTGGGTCGGGTCAGATAGCCTCCCCCTAGGTCCCCTTAGCCGGAGGAACGTGAGTGTAGTCCCAGTGATTAGCCCGGAAGCTATACCTCCTTGGGTATCGGGTAGAGGGGCCGCTACCCCTCTGTGTTAGGGACCCGTGTATCCCGCAGATTGCAGCTGTATTTGAGCCGCCGTCGAGCGCACGCCTCAAATTCTCCACGTGCCGGTGGGAGGAGGGGGAGTCGCCCTTGGCGTTCAGGTGCTCGCTACTGGCACTGGCTAAAGCCGCCTACCCCGACCTGGAGGGGAGGGGTTTGGATTCCTTGGCCTTCGAGAGGCTGCTTGCCCTCGCGGGTGAGCTGGGCATCGTTTTGTCCATCCCGGAGGAGGCCAAGATAACATCGCTGGCTGTGGCGCATAACATGCAAGTGCACCTTGCTCTGCGACGCTCCGCCACGTTGGCGGCGTGCGCGGGCGTCCCGCTACTGCCGGCGGGGGTCACGGCCCAGGGTGAGGGCACCCTTACGGCCGTGGCCACCTTCGACCGCCGCGGGAGGAGCGCCGATGCTCGCCAGCCGGAGAGGCGGTGGCGGGCGGGACTTCCTCGTCCACAAGGTGCGGGGCAGGTTACCTGCTTCTGATGTGGACAGCAGGGCCACTTCGAGCGGGGCTGTAATAACGCCCCCGGGGCCTACGTACGGGCGTCCCCTCCTGCCACGGGGTCTCCGATGGCGGGACCTCTGAGCCCACAGGCGAGTCACGACGCATCAATCGCGCGGCCGCTCCCTTCACCTCACGCACCTAGCGGGGTTAGGGTCCAAACTCATGGGCTCATCTCTAAGGGGTCGGGCTCGGGGGCCGCGTGGTCGTGCACATCGGTTGGGTGGCCCAGACGGACCCACCAGTGGAGGGCCCTCGCGCATCGCGTTGTGGCTGCCGCTCCGGGGTCCTCTGCCGTTGTGGGATGCGTGCAGGGGGTGGATGTGCGGATCCTGGTGGATACAGGTGCATCTGCCACCATGGTTTCGGAGACCATTTATCGGCTGCTGCCACGCAGCATCGGCCCGCTGCGTCCGGTTCGCGGGGTTTATGTGGCCGTGAACAGGGGCAGCCTGGATATTATGGGTCACGTCGTCGCTTCCATCGCACTCGGCGAAATTGAATTGGTGGGCCCATTATGGTCTCAAGGACCTTGGTGGTGCCGTGCCTTCTGGGGACAAATTTTTTGGCCAGGATGCCCGTGCAGATCCTGGTCGACCAAGGGTTCGTGGAAATGCCGTCGGGAGGGCGGTTGCATTTTCTGCAATCCCCCTCTGTGTTGACACCCTTAGCCGCTAGTGTGCGGGCCCTGACCACGGCGTGTCACGGTTCCACCTGGGTCTCAGGTCTTGCTACCCCTCAGGCTGCGCAGTCCATTGAAATTTGAGTCCCCGGAGACAAGCATCCTCCTGTCTCCCTCCAATTATTTCTCTACGTCCGACGGGTTGGTGGGCGCCTTGACGGCCGTGTCAGCGGGCCGGGACCTTTTTTTACAGGTCCTGAATTCGGGGCCCTCGCCGATCGTCGTCCCGGTAGGTACGGTGTTAGCACACGCCACCCCGGGCCCTTCGGCCGATGGCGCTAGGCCGCTGGGAGGGGTGGTGGCAGGCGTGCTGCCCGAAGAGAGGATCGACGCATTGTGGATCGATGCGTTGTGCAACGAGAGTGTCTCGTTGTCCTCCACGGAGCGCCAGCGGATCCGCGACCTCATCGTCAGGTTCGCCGATGTGTTGAGCCAGAGTAAATTCGATTTGGGTCGTACCATTCTTCTGCATCATCACATTGATACGGCCAATTCGGCCCCTATTTGGCTAAATTCGCACCGCTTTAGCCCGGCAGAAAAGGATCATGTCCGCTCCGCAGTTTACGAGATGTTGGCGGCGGACATCATCTCCCCATCCACTAGCCCGTGGGGTACCGACCATTTTTCTGGTCAAGACTTCCGCAAACTAAACAAGATTTCGGTGGCCGGTGCATATCCATTGCCTCGCATGGATGATTCCCTGGATGCTCTCTCAGGTGCGCGGTTCCTTTCGACCCTAGATTTGCTATTGTTTTTTTTGTCCAGCTCTACCGGCCGTATTTATATGGTCGCCGGTTTACCGTTCGAACTGACCATGCAGCCCTGCAGTATTCCATGCAAATTGACCAACCCTCGGGTCAGATGTCCCGCTGGCTCGAGATGCTCCAGGAGTACCCCTTCGATGTCATCCACAGGAAGGGGACTCAGCATGGGAATGCAGATGGCCTTTCCAGACTGCATACGGACGGCGGGCCCGCTTGTGCCCTGGGTTCCAGCCGCTAAGGCCCCAATGGACACCGCGGCCCAATTGGTCGCATCGGCCGAAGCACCGCCCCCTCCTGGTGTGGCGTTGCCTGTTGATTTCGGCCTGGGACTCCCCCGGGAGGTATGGTCCAAGTTGCAGATGGAGGATTCCTCTCTGCTGAGGCTGCGACGCCGTGTGGGCTCGAAGGCCCGGAGCTCCGCTACGTCGGCTGCCCCGGGCCCGCCAGCTCGCCGTGAGCCCCCTACAACTCACCTGCCTCTGCGTCGTAGTTTGCACCACAACACATTAATTAACCCCTCCCCCCACTTCGCGCAAAAAGAGCATAGTGCTGGCTGCTGGCGAAAAAGGGGAACTGTGGTGTACGGCAGTATTGAAGTCAGCAGGCCATGAAAGACACGAGAGGGGGTCATCTAGGGGAAAGGTCACAGAGGGGGACCCATCGGGAACCCGCTAGTAGGTTCCAGAGAGGGGGTGTAGCCGGGGCGGAGCAAGGCCAGGTGGAGAGTATAAGAGGGGCCCCTGTGAGAGACCTTGTGGCTGTTGTTGGAGTGGGATCCCCGTCGTGCTGTTCAAGATCATCGTCATCGTCGCTGTCGTCTCGTCGCTGTCGTCTTCACTCGATATTGTGCTGCTCGATAGTTGTTGGCTGTCTCGGTTCAGCGCCGTGTTAGGCGGTTAGTGTTATGTAGAGGCTAGCAACAGTAATAGTGTGTACCCACGTAGAGTTGTCTATAGGCGAGTGACTGTAGAGTGTGTACCCACGTACGGTGTGTGTTATACCGATGGTGCTCGTTAAATAAAAGTTCCTCCAAGTCTTATCATCTCCGAGTTAGTCACTACACGAGTAACGAATTGGCATGTTTTATTTACGTGACAAACCTTATTGTCTCAAGTTTAAATAAAGTATTTATCTGCATGAGCTTATCCTCGATAAGATTAGCTTATACTTGAGCTGGCTTGACTAGCCATTGGCTTGTCATTTTTTTATTGTAAAGCTTCCAATTAAAATGCTGTGCATGAAGAGAACCACAGCAGGAATCCAATAACCCGTGTTGTTATGGGGGGAACTGTATCACGGATCCTATAATCCGCAGTCCACCACGGAGGTTAGACCTATATGGGAGCAATTAGCCACGCAATTCCATAAATAAACTAAAATTCACGTCGGCACAGCTAGTCTGCGCTGATGTAATGAATATTGCAAAGGAAAATTAAAAAATTGCCTCCACGTTTCCCTGAAGCTCCTCTCCTACAGCTCCACGTTAGCTGCAGCTCACTTCTACGGATCACTGCTTGTGGCCTACGAAGCGTTTTCAATCCGCCGCGGCATGCCGAGGATTATGAGATAAGTCGCGAACCGTCATAAATACGTGAATTACAGAGACTCGCAGGTAATTGGTTCGCAAAATTATTGGATATCTGGTTTATATAAAAGATAATTATATTGTACCCTAGATAAAATCCAGTATTCAAGCGATAACATTGTAAATCTTCCCGATTCCTATCTTGACAAATACGTTAGATAAAAAAAAAAGTATATAAAATTCTAAATCCTGGGCTACAAAAGGTACAAGATACTCGATGGTCACAGCTACCAAACGTCCATGTTTGGCGGGGATAGCCACAGTTTCAGAAAGTTTGTCCCGTTGTCCCCATCCCCGCATTCCCCACCCTAAGCATTTGTGAAAATTGGGATTTTGTCCCAGTAAAAAATGTTTTGACCTCAAGCTCAAATAATTTATATGGGCAAAGGGTGGAACTACCTGAGTAGTGGGTGGGGGTTGGCAGAGTAGGCCAAGGCCCATTAGCAATAGATGGGGGCCCGTCGGAAAGAGCAAGGCGGTGCTAGTGATTAAGTGGGTGTGGCTATGTAAAATTGGGTGGAGTGATGGAGGGAGGGCCTGTCAACTCGCCAGGCCTGCTAGCTGACCCTCTCATAAACCGCGTAGCTGTATCGAAGGCAAATCACGGTGGGGCAGCTTCTTTATAGCTCAGTAGTTTTGTGATGTGTCGTGACATGAGAATGCACCACGGAATTATCTCAAATCACCGACTGGGATTTTGCAGTCCAAAGGGACTACATGACCAGCAGGCTACCTTCTCCCATCTGCAAAAGCACTCAGCCTCTGTGGGGGGAGATGGTGAGGGCTGTTCTGCAAATTAACTATACTAAACTATTTTTTTTTAAATCTTGACTTAAAAGCTTTTGTGACTGGAGGATGCTCAGCAATCTGCCATTAACATGCTAATCTCTCACATTAACATAGCCACCTATCTACGTGACTTTACCGAAAGACCCAATTTTTTTTTTTTACCAGGTAAAGCCCACTGAGCTATATATAGCTCTTTTTCCAAAGCGACCTGACCACAAATGCGAGCTCAACAAGGTGGCTTATCGTGCGAAAATGTATAGCAGCTAAAAAATCTCTCAACGCATGTTGATTCTAAATGTGGAGGGAAAACCAGGAGGACCCTGAGAAAAAATCCACACGACCACGGGGAGAACATGCAAACTCCAAATACGCAGGCGTCAGGGTCGAGATCGAACCCACGACCTCCTGCATACCAGACGAGGAAGTTAACATCTCGCCACCGTGGTTCCCACTGATGTCCCCTGGAATACCTAATTGAGTGATTATCTGACTCACACACTTCATAGAGGGAATTCTTAACATGCAATGCATGTAATACAGTAGTAACGTGAATAATACTAACAATTGTAATACAGATAACATTAATGTGCATAATAACAAAAGTAACAGTAATAGCAACAAAATAACCAATGATAATAAATCAGTTATATCCTGCATGCCTTCTTAAATGTGGGTAGAACCACAAGCTTCTCAAGGTGCACTGAGAATTGTGTAAGTATAAATAAGGCAGGGAACTTCTTGCTGTACGGTACCCTCGAGCAGCTGTGTGACATCACATTGTACTGCATGAGAGTGCAGTGTGTGCAAGGGTAGTAGAGTGCACCTAGCATGGCACGGGCGCGGTGGACACTTGCCGGCAAATGGTGGAATGCCCCGGCGTCAAGATCAATGCCAGTATTATAGTTAAATGTTAATGTGCCATTTTATTGAGGGACTACTACAGTGGTGTTATCTTGGTGTGGTCTGGGACCGTTTTGTTGACGTGCCTTGCCCGATCTTGATAAGTCGGACTCAAATAATTTATGAACTATATTTCGCGACTTGCTTACCATTTGTCTCTATTTTTCACTCCTATCATTTGTTTTGTATGCTTGCCGTCTTAACTTGGTGACCCCGCACCCGTATTGGACATCTGTTGAAAAAAATAGCTTCATAGCTCATCGTATTCCTCCTCCAGTCTAAATAAAGATTCTGATCCTGAAGGTCCGCCGACTCCAGGCTGCCCCAGGCTCTCACCTGGCACTCTCGCCGCCAGGCGGTGGACATGGCCCAGCGGCAAAGCTTCAGCTGCTTGTCGCCGAAGTTCACCGTTGTAAATAAGCGGCCGCCCTGGTTATTACTGCGGGTGTATTAACCATGAAAGGAAATACACACGAGCCGTTTACTTCGCAGCGGGGAGCGTTAAAAGAATCCCAGGGATGTTGTACACGGTCCAAGTTTTCCAAATCTGCACAATTATCCGCAATTTACTCAATTGGGATTATGCACAGCAATCATAAGACTAGTGTGAAAAAACTTGGCAGGACCCTCCTGAAACAAGAACTAAGAGGCTCGGTAAGGCTTTAATAAAATAAACTCGTCAGCGGCCAGTAGTTCGCAGACACATACCTGAATCCATCTACTTATAGCAGCTGTGGCGGGGCCAGACATCAGTAGGCTTAGCTATTGTGAAGATAGAAATCCGACAATTCCAAAGCATGCCTGCTACCCTTACATGCGCTTGCCTCAGCCCTAACTTTCTCACTGCCTCTTCACTTGCCGATCAATTGGGCAGGTGAAACTGCCAATAGACTGAAAACTGGGTGGTTAATGTTCAACAAACTGATCAGCAGCATAAAAAAAAAATCTGCAAAATATAGCCAATGGTGCTCAAAATTCCGCACAATTTGGCGAACCGCTATGATAATCTTCGAGATGAGAATCGGGGGGCCAGTGCCTCCGTTTTTTCTCTCTTCACAGTCAAGGACAATACACGAAACCGGGGCAGGGCTCGATAACCAACATCTCCTCCCTCAGGTCTCACCACTTGGGTTTCAAATGCTGGCCCTGGTGCCGCTGGCAGTTGGTGCGCTGGGAGAAGCCCCGGCCGCACACATTGCAATGGTACGGCTTCTCGCCCGTGTGCGTGTACATGTGCTTCTGCAGGTAGTCACTTCTCACGAACCTCCGCTGGCACAGCTCGCACACGTACTGCCCGTGCTGGCTCTTGCCTCCATTTGGCACGGTCGTCGCCGCCGCCGCCGCCGCGGAGTGCATGATTGCCCGCCAGCTCGCCAAACTCTGCTCCGAGACGCAGCCCGTTGCGTTGGGCGGCCTTGGTAGGCGCATCGAGTTTGCGTCAACGGAGAAAGCAACGGGGCCTCGTGCTACGTTCCCACCAATGTTCCCACCGATGCCCCGTGCTACCCCGGACGCTAGTAACTGCTGTGACCACTGCGCGTTCCTCGAGAATTCTGGCCGAGGGTAGAGTTGTTCGACGGTCTTGAGCGACGTTACATTTCCGATGAGCAACCCAGACTGATCCTCCTCGTTCTTGCCTGCAGGACAAGAATAGCCCGGTTGGTTTTGCGCGGTTGAGAAAACTACATCCTTGCATGTTGTTTTTTCAGGGGTGTACATTATTTTATCCGCGGTGTATCCAAATCCAGCGTGTGATGAGCCGCACTGTATCGGGCTTTTACTGTATATTTTTTGTAATATACATTTTGTTTTTCTGTGGCATTCTCGTACCATTTTGGATATGTTGTTCACAATGTTAAGAATTTTCAGCAGCTATTTGCATGAACGATGCTAAATAAAATAACTATGGGTGAAGTTTGACTTCTTTATTTGGGGAGGGGGGGTTTCGCTTAGGAATCACGGGTGCAGATAATACATTTTTTTAACTTAATTGTAAACTACTGCAAATAAATTAATAAAGGTGTCCAATTTGGGTGGGCATTGCCCCCCCACAAACTCCACCCATGAAAATAACATTATTATTTAACATTATATATATGTATTTTAATTCAATACAACAACAAAACCTTACATCTGCTCAAAATAACAGACACGGTCTACAAACAACGTTCGCCCCCATAACCAGCTGTGACTTCGTACCTGGTAAACGCTTCACGTCCTTATTGTCGCAAGCCTCCATTTTGATGACGCGCCATGCGATAGGAGGCCTCAAGGCGACCTCCAGGGGCGATCTCTCCTCCACTCCCTCGCCTGCAGAAAACCAGAAATGTTACTATTAATACTGATATTCTTCCTCCATGTGTTTGTCCCACTCATGCGGGGGTGTTCCACTGTCCTTGCCAACCTTCTCCACGCTAACCTGTCCTGCGCCATCTCTCTTTCCGCTCCTCGGGCCACCATGTCCGATCGCACCACATCGCCCACCCCATCTCTTCTTCTGCCTTCCACTTGATCTCTTTCCTTCCACTTGCATCACTTGCACCTTCTGACCCACATAATTGTCCTGTTGTCTCGTCACATAACCGAACCACGACAGCCTTTTCGCTCTCATCTTCTCTGTGATTTGTATCACCTTGAGCCTTCCTCTCACTTCTTCAATTCTCACCCTGTCCTTCCTTGTTAAGCCCAACATCCACCGCAACATCCTCATCTCTGTGACTGCCACAGCTTGTTCCTCCCTGTTTCTTGTGCCCCAGCACTGGGCCCCAAAATATACTGATATGTTTTATTTTTCCAGATAAGGCCCACTGATCTATATAGCTCATTTTCAGAAGCGACCTGGCCACAAATGATAGCTCAACGACGTGGCTTATTACGTGGGCATTTTATAGCAGCCAACTACTCTAAACTCGTGATGTTGATTCTAAATGTGGAGGGATCAACCGGACGACCCGCATTAAAATCCACACGACGACGGGGACAACATGCAAACTCCTAATATACTGGGGTCAGGGTCGGGATCGTACCCATGACCTTCTGCATACCAAGCGAGGTAGTCAACATCCCGCCACCGTGGCACCCTGGCTGACTTCCCTTATACAACTTGTATAAGGGATTATACAGCTTGTATAAGGGATGGCTGTAAGTTCATCGTTAAAAAAACTAAGTGGATTCCAAAAGCTGTACAGAAACAGTCGGCTTATATAATTTAGAGGCAGTCGGTCTTGAGCTTGAGGGTAGTTTGTTGAGAGGAGAGAGGTAGTGTGTGAAGGGGAGTGTGTTAGATGAGAGGGGCGAGGTAGGAGAGTGCATTGGAGGAGAGTAGAGTTAGGTAAGAGCAGAGAGGTAAGCAGGAGTGAGTTCGAAGAGGATGTATGATGAACCTCTTTCGCACCATACGTAACCAACCGTACTAATCGAATGTGAAGGACAACAAACTAAACACAATGAGCCAATTCTAAAGAAATTCGTTTTCAATCTAAATTTAAACGTGCATAGCGTCAGTGGCTTCCTAATATCGGAAGGAAGAGTGTCCCAGATTGCCCTTGAAGCACATCTGAAAGCGCTCGATGGGGTGACCGTCTTTGTTTGATGGCCAGCTAAAAGTGGCTGCGAGGATGACCAGAGATCGCACTATGGTTTATGCTCATTGACAAGGTCAGTAAGCACTTTGTCTGTAATGAATGTGACCTTATAATGTATTAGTTCAGCAACCGGAAGCCAATGCAGCTCGGTGAGCTGTGGGCGAACTTGGTCGGATCTTGCAGTACCCGTCACGACACGTGTCAGAGAATATTGTACATGATGACGATGACTGCGATCTTAAAATCTATTCAGGAATTTAAATTGGAGCTAGTGCAGCGATCAGTGTAATGTTTCATTGATGGGTGTGGGTGAGGAATCTGGCAGGAGGAGGAAACTGATGTGATCGTAGAAAAAATACATGTACGGGAGAACACTGAAAAAGAGTTTAAACAGACTGTCGACAACCTGCTTTCTGTACTGCTCCGCAGGTGCGTTTCTCAGGGCTGTCACTGCGCTCATTCAAAGTGTAATTTACTAAGTGCCTCCAAATGACTGGTGTGCAGTAGCAGCAGCATCATCCCAATCATCGTACCTGGACAGATTATAGAGAACAAATTAAGCCGACGAGATTTTCTCACCCACGGGTCGCTCGCAATCTTCCTCTTCGTCTCCAAGCACGGATGTTCCGGCCTCTGAATTCTTAAACTCCATGTCGCCATGTGCTGAGACCGAGCAACGTGCAGATTTGCACAAAAACGAGGTTTAAAAAAAATATTATTAGGGGTGGGGAATCTGACAATCACATCGCATAAAGAATGGTCAAACAACCACCGTAACCGACAAAGTGGATGCGAGCCTTTAGACTGAAATTAAATGAGTCCATTATTGAGCCAAATTGTGCCAGAGACTTACCTGTGACTTGAGTACTCGTTCCTCTCTTCTGGAGGAAACGCATCCTCTGGCATGAAGTCCTGAGGCTCAATTTCGGTGCTGAGCATAGAGGAACCTTCATTGTACACACCAGTTCCGTCCATAGCTCCCAGCCTCCGCGCAGTTATCAGCAGCTCCCGGCTCAAGCCACTGAACAGCGCGAGCAGCACGTCTACCAGGCCTCCCAGCGTCACGTCGCCTGGGGAGGAAGCGGCGTCGTCCCAGCGCGCCGTCCCAGCGTCGTGGGGCTCGGCACCCTGCAGGGCCTTCACCACCTGCCGCAGCACGGCGTAGAAGCCGAAGGGCAGGCGGTCGCGCGCCGTGGCCAGCAGCTCGGCCCGCACGAGGCCGTCCCCGACGCAGGCGCGCAGGACCCCGTAGTCCCGGATGCCCAGCTCCGAGTCCATGGCCTGGGCCACCTCTGCGTTCACGCCCTGCGCCTCCAGCCACGCCGGGAAGTTCCCGCTTGGTTCCAGTACCGGGGTGGCCACCGCGCACGCCATTCTGAAAGGATGTGCAATCACATCCAATAAAACAAATCACAGCCGCATTCTCTGTGGGTCTCAGTATGGGGCAGCTGACGCCACCACCACAAGCATAAAGCGGGTTTCGCAACCAATATTATCCATAAGAGAGCATTTTTGGGTTAGATAGCATAAATATATAAATGTGTCGTTAAACCCGCCACCACCCGACACAGCCAACTAGTAAGGGTTGTCACGTAAACAGAACGTCACCAATTCGTCACTAGTACAGCACACCGGTGCGTTGGAGAGCCAAGCCACATCATTTACAATCTGAGTACGACGTTTCGCCAGTAATTACAACTAGCTTCATCAGGCGACAGCCAGATTTGTGGAGAAGTCCACCTGTTTCGTTCCTTACATAGAGGCGTTGATGTGATGACCACACTTGTGCGAAATGTGGGGAAGAGAGGGATTAATGAGCCAACGAATATTACGCATGCGCATTATGCGAGCCCATTGATCTTGTCCTTCCTGTCAGTTGTGTACCAAAATAGTCGTGCCAACGGTAATCCCTTTTGAAGTATGGGGACCTGTATAGGCATGCATTTAAACAATGTATTATTTGAAATAAAAAATAATTTTAACCGTTCGGATAGTTACCGACGTATTTCTGCGTGGAAGTGAATCATCAAATAGAGGGGTAGATGTGATGGCAATATTTGTGCGCAAAGTGTGCGGGGGGGGGGGATTAATGAGTCAACGAACATTATACATGCGCATTATGCGAGCCCATTGATCTTGTCCTTCCTGTCCATTGTGTGTACTAAAATAGCCGTACCAGCGGTAATCCCTATTGAAGTATGGTGGGCTGTATCGGCATGCATTTAAACAATTAAGTAAAAATAAATGTAACCGTTCGGATAGCTACCGACTTAGTGCTGCATGGAAGTGAATAATAAAAAAATACAGCACTGAACTCGACTCATCACAAATCCAACAAGTAACCAAGTATTTGTTTGTTGGCAAAACCATCAATTTGTCGGCATTAAGTGCAGGAGTGGTCATGCCGACGTGGAATTCACATCACCCAGGGCCACCACCGGCTTGTTAGCTGTGAAACCGGCAGTGGAAATTCCACATTCCACTAAACTGTGACGAGCCAGAGAACATCCACGTGGTACATTTCTTTGCCAGTGTCAAAGTATACTAAATAGGATTTCCCCTTTCTGGAAACAAAACAGGTGTCAAGATGTTCAGGCAAAAATATTTTTGCAGGGGGGAATCTTGTACTACATTAACCACACACCATACGTGTGAACATGCAAACAAAAACGTAAACAAAACAGAGCATGCAAACAAAAACACGATTTTTTCTTCTTGGTTCTTTCGGTAAAGTCACGTAGAAGGGAAATAATAAAAATAAAACATGAAAAAATATTTTATTAGATTTTTATTTTACTTTTTCTTTTATTGTTTTCTTTTTATTATTTTATTATTTCCCTTCTACGTGACTTTACCGAAAGAACCAAGAAGATGAATCCCTGCAGTCACGAAACCTTTAAATCGAAAAAACAACCTTGTTTTTTTTCGCTTACGTTTTTGTTTGAATGTTTATCACAAGTACCTTGCGTGCTTAATGCAGTACCCGATTCTCTGCACAAAATTTCCGTTCGGTGTGTGAACATCATAACACCTCCTGTTTTATCTCCATAAAGTGTCAAACATTCTACCAAAGCACATCATCATCCACTGTTGTTGACAACAACCCACCCCCACGCTACATTTACCTCCGCCGGGTCCTCTGCAGCGGACGGCGACTGTGTTCGGTTTCCCCGCGCCAGTTAAATAAACGTCGCGTGGTTTAAAAAAAAAGAATATATATATTTTTTAAAAACAACAAATAGACGTTTAAGCAAATGAGCCGAATCGTGCAGCAAAACTTTACGCGGTTCAGCTCCAATCGAGTGGCGAGCGAAGAGGGACGTTGGCTCGCTCCACCGCCGAGCAGATTCGAGATTTAGGGTCCGCGACGATTGAGGGGAGACTTTCGTGCAGGAATTCATCATCGTTGGGTCTTTCGTTAAAGTCACGGAGAACAAAAATATTTTACAACAAAAAAACTACGACGTTTCGATCGCGGCGCAAGCAATCGCCATCAACAAACAATCGTTGTCGTCATCCCGATGACACAGGTAAATCGTCCAATCGTCCTCCTGATGACGATTGCTTTGTTTTGCGATCGAAACGTCGTAGTTTTTTGTAAAAAAAAAATTGTTCTACGTGACTTTGGGACCGTCCATAAATGACGTCACGCGACTTTGGACGATTTTTGACCCCCCCCCCCCTTCGTCACTCGACGTCACAAAAAGTCAGACCCCCCCCCCCTCAAATATGACGTCACAAAGCTCTGCCCTCACCCCCAAAATAAAACATGCTTCAAATCGCTTTAAACTATTGTCATTGTAGTGCGTATTTAATGTGGCGCTGCACTCTGATGTTGTAGGAGAAAACATTTATTAAAAAGTCTATTTAAGTAGAACGTGTTGTCTATATTTATTTAAAGTTGCCCATTTTGATGTGACGTTACATTTATCACCCCCCCCCCTCGTCACAAATGTCTGACCCCCCCCCCCCCCAGGTGCGTGCCGTCATTTATGGACGGCCCCTAAAACAAAAGCAATGTCACCACGAGACTGAACTAAAACTATTTTTAAAAAATGAATGTTCTTTTTTTATTTTACCAGGTCAGGCCCCACTGAGCTGTCTGTAAGCTCCTTTTTCAGAAGCGACCTGGCTACCACAAACAATAGCTCAACGAAGTGGGCTCATCATCATCATCGTGTGGACATTTATAGCAGCCAAATATTCTAAACCGCGTGATGTTGATTCTATATGTGGAGGGGAACCCCGCGGAGGACCCGGAGAAAAATCCAAGCGACCACGTAGAGAGAGACCACAAACTCCAAATATACAGCGGGCATCTTGGTCGGGATTGAACCCACGACCTCCATCCAGCACACCAGGCGAGGTAGTTAACATCTTCCCACCGCGTACCCAGGGTAGTGGCATTGCCCCCATCTTATACCTAATTATGTTATCTTTCATCAGTTATTATTTTTTTTCCTGCTCACACCTTGGCCGTGAATTTCAACCACAAATAACTCGTGACAAAATCCTAACCCTCCAATGCATCAGCCCCTGGAACTGCTGGGATTGTCGATGCGCCAATATTGCCACGGGCAACTCTCTCCAGCTCTCTGCACGTCTGCTGCTTGGCCAACTCTTCGGTGTAAATCACAATTTGATGCTGCACTGTCCATTCTTTAAAATTATTTAACTTGCAATTAATTGCATTTGGCATCTGTACTTGCCCGTTAAAAAAAAAATTTAAGCCGGAAAAAATCGTCGATAACATTATAGCCGAGCTTTGGTGGTCCACGCCTGTCCTCTAGTATCGTGCAGGTAGTAGCGACTGTTGGTGGATCGTACAAATGTTGTGAAACTACCATATCTGTCATCCTATATGGGTTTACCCGTAATCTTGTGCAGGAATATTGAGTTTTAGGGTCCACATGGCGTACAGCCGCCGTTTCAATACGAGCCAACAAAATCATAGTTTATTGTACATTTGCAACATGTGTGTGCATCCACATCCAGCAAGCAGCAGCATACGCATGCAAAATCACAGACAGTAGCATGATAAATAGCATAATTGACACCAATTATCTAAATTAATCCGTAAAAAGTTTTTGTTTAGTAACATCATTTTTGTCTATTTGTTTGTGTTTCTCCCTTGTGATGGGACTTTGTCAGACGAACGTTGAGATTTATAAGGGCACGGGGTGACCAATAAGGTCTGAATTGGTCTGTAATCAGGTAGGTAGACGTCAAGGGGGAGCCATACCCTGGCTCGCATGTAGCATGTTGAACTTATTTCGCACCATGTGTATCCAACCGTGCTAATCGGAGGTGCGGGAGAAGGCCATCACGCTAAAAACAAAAGGCTGTTCTAAAAAAATCAGATTTCAAAGTGCATAGCTCCCTCTAGTGGCTTCCTAATATCAGGCGGAGCAGCAAATGTGGACTCCACCCGTCACGTCCGAATGGGATAGAGTGTTTCCCCCACACACGCATGAGTTTCCTCCGGGTGCTCTAATTTCCTCCCACATATAAACACTCGATAATGTTGCCGATAGCACCTTACAAGAGGCCCACATTCGTGCAAAATAAACGTATTGTAAAAGAAGTTACTGGCCGTATTTGTGAATGAAATATCAACGGAGAGTATGCGGACCACACAATTCTATAAAAGTACAGCAGAGAATAAACACTCAAGCACCGTGACAGAAATAGCACTTTAATTGCACGAAAAGCAAAAAAATAATCTACGACAGCAAAGACACTTGCACTTTTGACTGAGCTCACGTTTCAAGAGAGTTCAACGATGATTGACTTTGCATATCTGAAATGTGAGGAATATGTACTGCAGTCTACAACGTGCTGGAGTGGCCTAATAGCCTGAAGAGTGATCATACAATAACAGCAATGCATGCACACTATTACAGCACTCACAACATCGATTGTAAGCTTAACCAGCTTACAGTGCCACGTGTGAGCGTTACTCTATTATACAAGGGTGATGTCGTGTGAACATTTAATATCCACTGTGTTTGAAAGTCAACTCGCAGTCCCAGCTTTGGGTTTTGAACTCACTACGACGCCGGTAGCTTGCGGATTCCTATGAGACCCATCAGAAAGGCTGCGAAAGGTCGGAGATTCAATTGGGATTGAGACATTTTGGAGTATAAAATGCGAAGGTCACAGCTCTTGAAGCTCTAAAATGTGATAATTGTTTTTTCACCCTTTTATCTGGCGACAAAACTGACACCTTTTTTACAAGGAGTCATGTTTGCATTGACCACAATACCTGCGGTCGGAATGCAAACAAAAACACACAACTCTGATAATGTACGCACTGTCCTTGAAATTGATTGGTCCACACCCGAGACAGCTTTTCTCAGAGCCTAGTCTCACATAGTGTTGGACCAGATGACGCCAAAAGGCGCACGTAAAAAAGGTGTCAGTTTTATTGCCAGATAAAAGGGTAAAAAAAGAATTATCATATTTTGCTACTGACAAAGGAGGTTCCAATGGTGCTCTAAAATGTCTGGATCTGTACGTCGATGATCAAATCACCCAGAATACGCCCGATCTTACAGAAATGATCCAATTTCTGTACTGTGCTTCTACGCTCCCTCATCCACACACTGACCAGCATGGTGATGTATTATCAAATAGTCCCCGCGACCCACATGGCATGGGGAGGGCGCTAATCTAGTAGTGCATGTACACATTGACCTACTCGTGCAAAGTACCATGCCATTGGGTTTTTAATGTCCTTTCACCAAGGGCAGTGCGCTTTTGTGAGTCAACTAATTCCTTGCAGAAATTAGAGCAACTGTAGCAGGATTTCAACTGTTGACTCCGTCAAAGTTGGAGCGGTAATGATGGGGGTGCTGAACACTCGGCCATTAGACAGTCACATACTAATAATAATCCTATTCGCAGCCTGTAGAGGACACATCATTGGGCACTTTGACGCTCAGCAAAATAAGATGTGAAGATGACCACAGCACTAAAAGCAGTTAAATGTACATGCACGGCGATTTTGTTGACCGACTGCTGGATGAGTCTCCCTTCACACTGCGGGTCAAGGGGGTTATTTGATCACACTATCACATTTGTCAGTGCAGGTTGGTGAAGGCGGGGACATAGGACACGGAAGCATATAAGTACAGTACGATAATGGGTTTTGCTGTGCTGCCAACAATGTAGCACCACTTAAATAGGCCTCTAACCCAACACTACATATTTTGCCCGTCAAAATAAGTGGGGACATCAATCTCCACAGGGCTACCACTGATTTGGCTTCCCAATCACCGACCGAAAAATTAATTGATAACCTACTGATTGTAACCCACCTATGACCAAATCACCTGGCATATCCCAAATATCATCAGAGCTCACAGACAGGAGTGGAGCCTGGAGGGCACTTGGATGGTTGATCACGATGCATGCATGCATGCCCAGGCTTTCAAGAGACAGCTTCTGGGCTACGTGGCGGTCAACAAGAGGCAGTGCAGGGCAATCCATTATTGTACTGTACTTGCAGTCAAGCATATGCTCCATGCATTCACCAAACCCACACTGATCAGCGTGGTGAGGTACGGTCATATAACCGCCATGACCCGCATGTTAAATACAAGGAGGCCCTCATCCATCAATGCAGTAACAAAAGGACTGTACATGGAAATGATTGTAACTCAAGGTGCCCAAACCATAGCGGTCATCCGGCTCGATCTAAGCAGCTGGTGACATTTCGCAAAGCAGTGAAATGACGGGACACCACACTTGTCTGCCAAGCCAAGATGACCTGCCGAGAATCGGGACCACAAAAAAAACCACTGCTCGGAATTGGCGAACGCCGCGCAAACCCCGGCGCCGAGTTCACGCCCGCGTTACTCGGCGTGCGTGCGCCGATGAGACCAGAGGATGGAGCGGTGTGAGAAGTGGAGGTCGCACACCTCGCAGCGGTACGGCTTCTCGCCCGTGTGCATGTGACGGTGGTCCTTGAGGCTGGAGCACTGGGAGAAGGCACGGCCGCACACGTCGCAGCTGTAGGGCTTCTCGCCCGTGTGCAGCCGCAGGTGCCGCTTAAAGTTGGAGTAGTGCGCAAAGGGGCGCAGGCACACCTCGCAGCGGTACGGCTTCTCGCCCGTGTGCATGCGCATGTGCTTCCGCAACGCATCCGACCGTGCAAACTGCCGCCCGCACTGCCGGCACTGGTACGGCCTCGACTCCTCGGGCGGCACCATCGCTTCCGGCGCCGCCACCGCCGCAGCCACCGTTGCGTTGTCGTCGTCGTCATCCGCAGCGTCGCCCCGCGCAGCGGGGTAAACATGCGTCGAGCTCGCGGTCGCGTTGCCTTCGGCCTCGTGCTTCCCGCGGACCGCGTGTCGCTGGTACTGGGCGTACCCCGATCCTTTCGCCGTCCTGTCCGGCGGCGGCGCCACCGCCGCCCGCATCGAAGCGACGTTCTCAATCAAGAACCCCGGTGGCGATCCGAGACCGACGCCGCCACCGCCGCGCGTGTACGACTGGTTCGTCCTGCCGAGCGAGAGGCTTCGCTCGAAGGCGAAGGGGAAATGCTCTTCCCCGTTCGCCATCGTTGCCGCCGCTGCCACCGTCGCCACGAGCCTGGGCGAGTGCTTTCTCGCGTCGTTCCCCACGCGGCGAGCCTGGGCCACGGTGGCGACCGCCTGCCGCTGCATCCAAGCGGGCGTCATCAAGGGGACCTCTTCCTCGAGGAAGAACTTGGCTTGGCAGGGCACCTCCTCGCCTGCTGGAGAACACGCGCAGTTGTGTGAGTGCGATAGCCTTCTGTGAATATGCGTTCGACACTCGAGTGTAACGCGTTTCTTTCGAACTGGCTTTGCGCGTTTACTTTGTTGTCCTTCCCCTGCACCTCTGATTAGCACGGTTGGCTACGTACGGTGCGAAAGAAGTTCTACTTACATTACATATGAGCCAGAGTGTGGCTCCTTGATACCTACGGGAAGGGAGCTTCGCAACATTTGTATGATCCACCAACCCTCGCTGCCTCCAAAGTGCGAGATGACAGGCGTCAATCACTAAAGCCCGGCGACAGTGTTATTGATGGATTTGGCTATGTACGGTGCGAAAGAAGTTCAAAATACATACGTTATTGAAATAGTGGTATTGCTGATCGAGGATAATGTCATCATTATTATAAGTCAGCTTTTCTTTGCCCTTGGATGGAAAGATGAAACTTTAAGCAAGAGGATATGCCGACAACATACGTGTTAATTTGAGTATTGCTTTAACCTGACATGTTTTCATTCCGAACACAATTTTTTTTAAACGCACGCCGAAACATTTTCTATTTAAAAAAAAACTTTAATGTGCGATAATCTATTTAAATGCACCCCTTTCTTGCTCGTATTTTTTTTTATCTACCTCATATCAATCAACCAACATATGTTTATTTGCTGGGAGGCAGACTTATCCAAGACAGTGTTTGGACATTACAACAAAATAAAAAATACAATTGACCGACGAGAAATCACAAATGGGGATAACCTTACAAAATTATTATTAAAAAAATGTTTAGAGATGACAAAGAACTGCTTTGTGAGATTCACATTTTTGTTTATTAAATACGGCTTTTGCACCATCACTTGCACAAAGGAACACACAGTACCAGCACAATGCCCTTATAACGCCTTAGTATCACGCGTTTGCTCGGGTACTTTCAGCAGCACCTTAGTTGAGGACATGAGCTGCAGCTCAAGAAAGCAAGCTTTGGTTCTATGCTAGAGACACTAAAACCCCAGAAGCATCCTACAAAGTCGATCACGACACCACCTAGCCCTAACACTAGACCGCACAACACTACCAGTAGACTACCTGCAACTACCAAAACTATCTGAGCACACCCAGGTACTTGCTGAAGGTTCTTCTCCCTTAAAGCTTTTAAAGGGGCAGCAGGGTCCATGGGCCACAAGCAGTAATCCTCCATCCGCCCGTCATAAAGGAACCGTCAGTATTGCATTCATGTAAGTCCTCTTCTTCCGAACACCAGCAGAACAACAGCTTCAGTCCGCCTTTTTCATGGACTGTCGCCTTCAACTATCAGTTGTCATTGCTTTGGCTGAAAGTCCGTAAGATAGCTTTTTTCTAATAAGTACATATCACAGACTGCAGAGATGTCCATTCTTCAATCCTTTTAATTATAGTTCTTTCCATTTTCAACTCCATAGACTCTTCTTGTCTTCTTTGGGTCCAGATTACTGTGCTACGTAATACTACCAATTGCATAACACGTGTGCCATACACGAGTACTTTTAGCTTTTGGTTTTTAAGTATTTCACTTTCCAGGTCATTTAAAACTACCCCATGATTGATAGTCCCAATTTTATTCTCCTTTGCAAATCACCTGTGCGTCCACCGTTCAATAGTATCAAACCACTGAGGTATAAACATTCAGAAACGTACTCAAATGCTTTCCCTTTATTAACATGTTTATGTTCTATCTTCTCTGTCAACAGTCAAATCTTTTTGATTTATCAATAATAATATAATCAGTACCAAATCTCAGCTGGCCTTATCAATCTTGACTTTTTGCAAGTAATTCTATGTTATCTCCAAAACTGTAAAAAAAAATGTTTTTATCAATTTGCCACAAATTCATGTCAGTATTGTCTGATAACTGCTCCATTATTACTTCCAAAATATATTCCAACAAGTACATGGGAGGACATATGCATTCCACGCTCGATGCCAATATTTATCCTGAACCAATCAATACATAATATTTCATATAGCAGTGTATTGACATAATCAGCTCCGGCAATATTACTTGCGATGCAATGGCTCTTCCACAGTCCGTCCTGCCAGACACTGTCAAAAGCCTGCTTAAATCTATGAAATTGGTCGAGATAGCTTTTAATCGTCTTCAATATACTTCTCAGCTATTTGACGTTATCACATAGATCTGGTCTATTGTTCTTCCGACTATCAACTCTGCCTGGTCTTCCTTAAGGGTTACAATCACTTTATACAGTATTAGGCATGTACCGATGCATTGAGCAAATTTAGAGTTGAATTTTGTACTTCAATGACACTTGCATCGAATCGTGCATGCGAATTCATGATAGACATGTAAATTAAATGCCAAGGACATACCAATAAAACATTTATCTCATCTTATCTAGGATTTTAGAATTATAAATGGTACATTAGTATTGGCTGATGGAGAAATGGGATGGGTTTTTCGTTTTGGGGAAGGGAAGGGATGGCAAGGAAGGGTGATGAGGGCTGGCGAGGTTAGGAAGGATGTTAAAGGTGTTGATAGGGAAAGGGAGGTGGGAGATGTTAGGAAGGGGAAGGATGGCAAGGGTGATGATAGGGAAAGGCAGGGGGGTGAGGTTAGGAAGAGAAAGAATGGTAAGGAAGGGTGATGATAGGGAAAGGGAGTGGCGAGGTTAAGAAGGTTTTAAGGACAAGGACAGGAAATTGGTAGAGGGATACCCTCTTGAAAAAAGATTAGTCTTAAGGGGGGAATGAAAAATGGTTAGTGAAGTTGCCCGTTTGATGTGGAGTGGGCGTTTATTCTAATGGAAAGGGAAGCCAGGAGGGAAAAGCGGAGACATGACTGAGCACTGGGAGGGGGTGGGGGGGCGTAGTGAGGGAGATAGGGTGAGGCAGAACCATGGAGCGATTTGTAAACAATGGTAAAGAAACATTTCCGCTAATCGCATTAACACAATTGTACAAACGAGACAATGAAAAGAAATTCAACCGAGATCAAATTATTTGAATATATTCCTGAATAGAATGAGGCAAAATTGTAACAGTTTATCATAAAAAAAATGTGCATGCTTCATCACCCCATCTTGAAAAAATAATGGAGAAAATCCATTTTAAAAAATCTAAATTTCCCTCTCGGAATACAGTTACGTAATGTCCGACTAAGCTTGCGCTTGTAACATTCTACAAGCCTTTTATATATGTTTTTGTTTATTGCAATTGGTGTTGAAAAAAGATCCGAGTGAAACACACGTTTGGTGCAATCATTGGCAACAGGGTTGGGGCTAACTCACTACATCTGCAAACCGGCTTTAATCATGAATGGCTGAAACTTGATTGAGGAACCCCAAGTTTCATCAGTGGCAGCTCCGAGCTGCTGAGCCACCTTGGAAATTCCACATTTCATTGGTGGGAGCCAATTTCTCCCAAAGAGATCGGATGAAATGGTTCGAAATTCCATAAAACCGTTCTAATGATAAATCAACTTCACGAGAGATGGTGAACAGACAGTGGGTTGAGTTAACCCTCTATCTGTATTTGAACTTGCAAATATCAATATTTTGAGTTGAGCAACCTTGACACAGTACCATATGAATATACCATCTGTATATTCAAGGAATATTAGAAAATCAGGCCATTTGATCTGAGTGGTCTGAACCATGAGTCACACAGCCACCTCCAAAGTGTTTTCATTTTAAGTTCAACATCAACAGGACTGTGACAGAATTTCTTGATATGAATATCGGACAACGCACTATTCAATGTCAAAACGTCAAAGTCTCTTCCTGGTCGTACGATTGTTTTCGTAGCATTGGTGTTCTTTTCACATTTCCATAGGGAGCAGTCGCTTGAGAAGACAACCAGTTGACTTTTGAAAAAGGCAGTATTCATTGTATTGACCTGAGATAAACGATGGGGCTGAGTTGGATATGGACCAGAAACTAACCCAACCGTGTAATGCACCATCTGACAAAGAAATCCTGAGAAAAATTCCCAACTTAAAGGAAAATGGTTTTCGCACCTACAATTAGCACGGTTGGCTACATACGTTGCGAATTAAGTTAAACATACATACATACACGTCAACAACGCCGACAGAATAATCAACTTGCTGCCGAATGGTGGCACTGGTGACGCTTGTAGTTGCTGCACTGCGAGAATCTGCGCCCACACAGGTCACAGCGGTACGGCTTCTCGCCCGTGTGCATGCGCTGGTGGCGCTTGAAGTTGCCATACTGCGAGAAGGCCTGACCGCACACGTCGCAGCCGTACGGCTTCTCGCCCGTGTGCATGCGCAGGTGGATTTTGAGCTCGGCGCAGCGCTTAAAGCCGTGGCCACACACCTCGCAACAGTACGGCTTCTCTCCCGTATGCGAGCGCATGTGCTTCTGGAGGTAGTCGTGCCTCGTGAACCGTCGACGGCACAGCTCGCACGCGTACGGCCTGTTGTTTCTCGTGCCGCCGCTAGGCTCGGGCACCGCCGCCACCGTTGCCGCCGACGTCGCCGCGGATTGGACGACCACCCGCAAGCTCGCTGGGCCTTGCTGTGAGACGTGACCCGTTGTGGAGCGTGTTGAGGCCGAGTCGACAGCGAAAGCGGCGGCGCCTCGTGCGACGTTCCTGCCGACATTCCCACTGGCGCCCCGGGCTCCTCTGGATGCTCGCGGCTGCCGTGGCCGCTCCGTACCCCTCGAGTTTTCCGACCGAGGATAGAGCTCTTGGACGCCCTTCAGTGATGTCACGTCACCGATGATGAATCCAGACTGACATTCCTCACTCTTACCTGTAGAAGGAAACGCCGGGGGTAACAAATAGGTGGAACTGGAACATTTCCCCTGGCTCTCGTTCCTTGCAAGTCCAATCGCATGTCGACAATAGACGCTACAGTTATTGATACATGCGACTTGTCATCCTCATCTCGCCTCTGTACCTGGGTGGTACGTTCGTGGTCTTGATCTTCTGATACGATAGGGCATCCTCCACACGTGAGTTAACGCGGGGACGAGTCCCCCAGCACCACAACTCTGTATTCATAATATTTTTTAATATCCTAAATCGGGGTTCTTCGACCTTATTTTCCAGCGAGCCACATTATAAAATTACTACGCGCTGGTGGGCCATGTGACGGCATAGCGTCTATAAAAATGACCAAAAATGTGTCACTCTCTTGTCTCCAGGTCTACTCATGTCTTGTTTACCTCCCTTAATCTCAATAATCTTTATTTATTATTGACAAATCTCTCAATCTAAATTTCTTATTTATCTCTCATCTCGCTAATCGGTATCTGTGTCCGAGCGGACCGCAGCTCGGTGGGCCACTCCCAAGAGCCTCTGCGGGCCATTCGGCCCACGGGTCACCAGATGAAGAAGACTACCCAAAATCATTTCCGAACACATGATTACAGGTCACCGACGCTCTTGGTGTTAGCACGTGAACCTGACATTGTTCACTGTGGACCCCGGAGGGGTAACATGCACCTGGAGGCTCATCCATGAAAACATTAGCACTTCCCATGAGGTCCGGTCACCAAATCTCCCCCTCCTGTCTGTCTTCAATGGTGTAGTCGCAAATGCTTGAATATGTTGAAATTTACGGGGTGGGGCAGTGGCGCTGTGGTTGGCGCACCGTCCTATGAATCCGACCACCTGCATTTGATTCCCGGCCATGGCAAACGTCAGTGGTGCATGACGTCTGAACCGGTGCTGGCCCCGTCCCACTTCACCGACTTTCACTAGCCAGTATGAAGTAGGGTCAAGCATGACCACCGACACTTTGTGGGAAGATCTTCATCAATTAATGGACCAATAAAGGGCCGTAAGTTCTACGGATCAGGCCGATTGTCATAGCAGTTGCAAAGGGCCCTCAGTCAAAAAGCAGCCGAGAAGCACGGTTCAACACTGTCAAAATGTGCAGGTTTTGTATGTATGCACGCACCAACACACTTTGCACCACTCCTGCTTCATTGGTCTTTTAAATCGACATATATTGTTTTAATGGTTTATGTCATGCGTCATAAAGCATGGTCCTACCCATGTATGTAGAATATATTTCCTACCATATGTAGCCAAACTTTTTTTTATTTCACACATTTTATGCTCCAGTAACCAAGGATTTTTGTTGAAAGCAGTCAACCATTGCTGAACGAAAGGTCACACGTTTACCTCTATTGCCCCCGTCATGCGAGGCTCTCTTCCACCAGCCATCAGTGCTGTTGACTCTGTCCCAGTTCAGGTCCAGGCTCAAGATCTGTCTTTGACTGATTGCCTTATTCTCGCCATACAAATATGTCCAGTCTCTGTACAGCATCTTGATATGCGGATGCCTCAATATGCTCTACAGATCCAAATTGTATTGTGCTGTGCTGTAAGTCGCCAATATCTTAGTGCTTACATCAAATCTAATGTAACCACGACCTCACTCTATGAGACTTCGTTTTAAAATCTCCAAATGCCTGGCTTTTGTATGTGAAAATAGTGTAGTCGCAGCTGAGGTTGAAGAACATGGGGAAATTTGACATTTTTGGTCGTCATTACAGAATCATTATAAGGGGCACAGTCGCTCAAAAGGACGACTCTGTTTGACTTGGAGGATTACTTATGAAAATCAATCAGGTGTAAGGGTTGGGATCGAACCCTCGACCTCATGTATACCAGGCGAGGTAGTTAACATCTCTCCATCCCTTAGGTTGGGATGTATCACCATGCTGCGCTCGCTGAGCAATCAGGAGCGCTTTACAAATGAAGGTTGATGATGAAGATGTCGGTGTCAATGTGCACTCACCGTCGCAGCTCTCCACTTTGACCTCTTGCCACACGGGGCTGAAGTTCGCCTCGGTAGAAGGGCTGTTCCCTCCCTCGTCTGGGGAGAGAGAAGAGATTATGACTCAGCACGAGCACTGTAATGACTAAAATACAACTTGATTATTTGCAAATGTTGAAGTTACGGATGGATGTCAATGTTATGTTTACTCACCGAAGCCAGCAGTGAAAATTCCATATTCCCATAACAGGGACCAGTCCTTTTATAAAGTGGTACACATTTTATGAACCTCATAGGGCTAAGAGGTTGAGTTTCCCCCTCCAAACCCGCATTTAAACATGTGACTTTCCAATTGTGAATCTAGCACTCTTAACTAAACATTTGAATGACAACCCCTCCTGAAAAAGCATCTCGAGGCTCAGAAATGCTTGGGTAAATAAAGGACTACAATATTACATGATTATAAAATCAAATTATACTCGCTCTAGTGTGTAAGATAAACTAGTATTTAAGACAATGTGTGACATGCAAAGCCATTCGATTTCTGGGAGACTCAACCGGGGCACACAGTGAACCAGCGGTCCCTCCCTCCATAACTCCCACCCAATCCTCAATAGCCATGCCCACTCAACCACGAGCTCTGCCCACACAGTGAGGGGCCTCTCCTCCTTCTGACACTGACACCACCACCAACTCATGTGCCCTGCCCACTCCTCTGCCAACCCCCGGGCTACCCGAGTAGTTGGGCATCTAATTTTAAACACAACCCAATAACTCTGATAAAACGCAGATTCTTGAATAGACCCCAAATCACGACAATTTATTTTTGTATCACAATGAAGGGGGTGCGGGGTGTTCATTGTTAGAGGCTTAGGATTTTTATTATATGTGACTTCTCTCTGCTTGTAAATATCCAAGCTTCTTGCTGTTAAAGACAAAGTGAGGATATCTTACCCAATGGTTGTTCACCATCACCGCCTCCTCCGGTAACGCTCGTTTGGACTTGAGAATTTCTGAACTCCATGGAGCAATCTGAAAGAAAGTGACAATGGCCTGATTGGGTAGTACACAAAAAACACTTTGCAACAGGCGACATTCACAGGAAATACCTTAGTTTAAGGAATGACTCATCATACAATACGCTCATTTATACCATAAAAACAAAATAGTGGTGGTTAATTTACAAATGTAATTGTCACTGACACCCTTGTCAATGTGGTTTATGTGAAGTAAAATGGTGGGGGTTTGTTTCATGAGGAAGAAGAAGCGTCCAATAATGACCACCGTTGCAGCCAAAGGTTGCAGTGTAATTTTTTCTCGAACGTGAACATCGGCCAAAGTTAATTTACTAATTTCTAGAAGACGTCAGTACAGCAAGCGGGGTTCCCGACTCATCTGCGTGGATTTTCGTGCACTGTCCGTTAGTACGGCCTGCACGGGTCCTTGCGACCAAGGGGAAGATCCCACCAGATCGTGGGATACAGTTCGGGCAGGAGATCACAGGAGCTGGGGGATTGTGGAATCAGCACGTGGCAGTTTCCGCTCGCGTGAAAAAAATGCATTTGCCAATCTTGCTCGTGGAGGATCCGTCTGAAAAAAAGTCCTGATACTCAGTGAAGCTTTGTGATGTAAATGAAAATAGTATTCAAGGCAGATTGAAGTGTGGAGTTTCCCTACCTACTCAGGACCAATAATTCAAATGAGCAGCACTCTGCACATGTCAAAAAATGATAGAATATCATCTCCAGTCTAGGTTCCTGAGCTGTAATCATCACCTACCTCACAGCCATCACAACAGAATGTTAACCTCACCATCACTTAACATGTATACCACGCCTCCCATACAGTACATCTTGAGACACCCTATGGCAGTGCTCGGCATGTGGAAATTATCCCTGTTCACAAGGTGAATGCAGTACCGGCCTGCAAAATGGGAGTTCGTCTGCCAGTAAAGGGTGATATTCCTATGTGGTTTGAACAATAATTTGTGGAGTAATCCCTGGAGATTATTGTGGCGTTTCCTCTCCTTCTAGTCGGAGCTCACCGTTATTGGAGAATTGACTCTTCTCCTCTGAGGGCAGCTCCTCTTCGACAGCAATCAAGTCCTGGTGTTCAACCCCTGCACAAGGTGGACTGGAGACAGCAACGCCCATGTCAGGGCCGTCCATGACTCCCAGCCTCCGCACAGACATCAGCAGCTCCCGGCTCAAGCCGCTGAACAACGCGAGCAGCACGTCCACCAGGCCTCCCAGCGTCACGTCGCCAGGGGAGGAAGCGGCGGCGTCATCCCAATGTGGTGTAACTGTGTCGTGGGGCTCGGCACCCTGCAGGGCCTTCACCACCTGCCGCAGCACGGCGTAGAAGCCGAAGGGCAGACGGTCGCGCGCCGTGGCCAGCAGCTCGGCCCGCACGAGGCCGTCCCTGACGCAGGCGCTCAGGACCCCGTAGTCCCGGATGCCCAGCTCCGAGTCCATGGCCTGGGCCACCTCCGCGTTCACACCCTGCGCCTCCAGCCACGCCGGGAAGTCCCTGCTCGGTTCCAACACAGCTGCGCATGCCATTTTGTGAGCCTGCCGAATGAGAGAAGAGTTAATGGGCCTCCCTGCTCAATAGACAGAGTGGCAGTGCTTAAGCACCATGGAAATTCTACAATTCCATACATTCCTCTGAGTTTATCCACATGACAGTGACTATCACAAGTACACAATGCTGCTGCCAAACTCCTCATTCACACCAGTTAACGAGAGAGCTTATACTACAATTAATCCACAGGCTGCATACATTTCCAGATCGCATTCAAGGTCTTCAAGATCCTGCATGGACTCGCCCCTACCCACTGCTCTCATCTCCCTCTATTCTCCTTCTAAGTACTCTCCGCTCCAGGAACCATGGCATTCTATGCAAACGCCCAGGTCAACCCTTGCTCAGCGGAGGTTAGCTCATTATCCTCCATTGTCCCAATTCTCTGGAAGGCCCTTCTCATATGATCCATACTCTCAACTTCCTGTTCAAGTCCAGGCTCTTCCATTTTATCTTGGCATTTAACCGCGAGCATCTAAACAAATGAATAGTCCCACTGTTTCTGTACATCGCCTTGAGATGATATATAAATGCACATTTTACGTTATTGACCCGCAAAGGAACGGAAATAATAGTTTAAGTCGACTAGAGTGCTCAAGGTTTATTTCCATATATAAAATGACCAACTAGTTTAGTTACATAAGAGGTTTTTGGGGTTTTGAGTTACACAATCTAAACCAAAAAAACCCTCTATTTTGGATATTGGTCGCAAAAGCCTACGTGTTAAACTAGTTTAGTTACAACAAAAGGGTGCAGTGATGCACCGATTCAACAATAAAAATGTATTATAAAGGCCCACAATACATTCATTTACAACTGCACAAATTTCCGATTTTAGTTATAGGCAAATGTTATGCTTATGTTACATTTAGGCTAAAGGATAAATGAGTGAAAAAAAAAATGAGAAACACTATGAACCAGACAACAAAAATAAGAGGTTCAGAGCACTGATCTGGCACTGCACGAGACCCTGGGTTCGAATTCAGTGCAGCCAGGCGTTATTCAACCGAGTTCTTAAGTGTAGCGAGTTAGCGTCTCATTCAGGTCACCAATGACTACACAAAAAACCATCAACACCAAATTAGCTTATGCACTTAAACCCTCTCGTTCCGATTATGTACGTGTACACCATCTAAACAAGACCGGGAAAAGAATTACTTCATCGGTACCGAGGCTCCCAAAAAGCCCACGTGAGAGGGCGCGTGCACAGTTTGGCGCCAGCTATCGTAGAGTGCAGTCATGTCGCTACGGTTCTCTGCGGCGAGCACAATGTCTTTAAAAACAACGGCGCTACTACGCATGTCAAAGTAAAATTAGCCCCGAGCCTCTTGCGCGTTCAGAGATTCAGCGGTGAAGGGGACACCCACAGCCTGCAAAGTGCAGACGTCTCGGAACGGGAAAGGGTTAATACAGCTAAATTTGATTGTCGCGCATAAAGCGAGTGGGGAAGTGTTGCCCTCTACCGTGTTGACCAGAGATTACTTCAGGAGAACGTAAGAGGCAGCTCTTTAACACAATCCTGCGGAGGGAGCTGGTAGGAACGTTGGGTTGCTCGGTCAATGGCCAGGGTCAACGGCGGCGTGGTGTATTCGGCAAATATGCCCGACTGTGAGGGCGGGCACAAGCCGGCGTGAGTAGGTTAAACGTTGAGTTTTATAAGGGCACCACGGGGTGACCAGCCCCTCCCTACCCAGCCCCACCCCTCCCACCCCCCACCCTCCCCACCCAGGCCCTCCCCACCCAGCCCCTCCCTCCCTCCCCACCCAGCCCCTCCCTCCCCACCCAGCCCCTCCCTGCACGACGGACGGACACAATAATCCCGTGGGCTGGTGTAACCAGAAGGTTCCTACCAGTAATACTTGCTTCTAAGGGCCGTTTTCTAACACGAATGGTTGCATTGTTGTACGAGAAATTCTAAAGCACGCTTTGGCATCATGGCACAACAGCGACTGCAAAATTGTGATAACGTTGAGAAGAAATTACTGAAAATATAAAACTGTACATTAATTCTTGAATCGAATTGTGGCTATCCGTTGAATCGCTGAGGGGGGAGACAGGTGATGTGAATAGATTTTTTTCAACTGTATTGAATCAAAGTGACAGCGTCACCCTATTCATACGACAGTGGGTTTGAGCTCATCGCCCTTGGCGGATCTGATCCAGTGCAGGAAAAGCCACATTCCCACGACGTATTCCAGTCTCATAAAAGCACCGAGTACTATTCACTTCCACAACGCGGTACATATTTTACCGACCCCGTAGGAATAGTAGTTTGAGCAAATGTCAATGACAATTATACGGTTCAAAGCTCGAGTATTAAATCAATGTACGTACACGTGCTGCTCCTCTGTCAACCCACTACTGGATGACAGCCTCCCCGATGCGGTGCTGGGTCGTGAGAGGTTATTTGACCATACTTCACCACGCTGGTCAATGCGGGTTGGCGAAAGCAGAGGGGCATCTAATTTATGTATTTTACCAGGTAAGGCCCACTGAGTTATTTAGCCCATTTTTCAGAAGCGACCTGGCCACGTATGATAGCTCAACGAAGTGGCCTATCACGCGGAAATTTATAGCAGCCAAATACTCTAAACGCGTGATGTTGATTCTAAATGAAACCGGAGCACCCGGAGAAAAATCCACGCGAGAGAGAGAATACAATCGAACCCACGACCTCCTGTATACCAGGCGAGGTGGTCAACATCTCCGAGCCACCGTGATGATGAGAGAGACACCGCAAACTCCAAATATACAGCAGACGTCAGGGTCGTGATCGAACCCACGACCTCCTGTGTACCAGGCGAGGTAGTTAACATCTCCTAGCCACCGTGATGATGATGAGAGACACACAGAGTCCAAATACACAGCAGCAGGCGTCAGGGTCGGGATCGAACCCACGACCTCCTGTACACCAGGCGAGGTAGTTAACATCTCCTAGTCACCGTGATGATGATGAGAGAGACAGGCAAACTCCAAATATACAGCAGGTGTTAGGGTCGTGATCGAACCCACGACCTCCTGTACACCAGGCGAGGTAGTTAACATCTCCTAGCCACTGTGGTGATGATGATGAGAGAGACACACAAACTCCAAATATACAGCAGACGTCAGGGTGGTGATTGAACCCACGGCCTCCTGTATACAAGGCGAGGTAGTTAACATTTCGTAGCTACCACAGGGGCGAGACATTTAACGGATAACAAAAGTCCACCGGTGTTGTTGTTTGTTGTTGTTGTTGCCCCCGACTGCCCCCACCGTAACAAAGCTTCCCCTGAAGCAGCCTCCAGCACGAGTCGTGCAGGGCGGCCGCCCATCAACCACGCTTCGCTTCGCAGACGTGGAGCATAGAAGTACAGTACAGTAACACACATTTCGTTTTAAAATCACGTTTTGTTAACAAACAAAAAAACTAACACGTGGTTCAATCCACTGCTGGATCGGTATGCAAATACAATGAAATAATAATTTTCAGATTGTTTTGTTAGTTTCGCATATTAAACGATCGGTTATAATTACGGTATCGATTTGTAAGGTTTTGTTTAAATGTAAAAACGTTTAATACTTAAAATGCTGTGCAGCGCACGCACGCACGCACACATCGCAAGGCTCCCTCGTCGATTCTGTTTCCGTTGTTGCTTTTGTGTTTCTTTCACCTCTAGAATCTTACCGACGGAAACTTGGCTTCGGTTTGGCGGGTGGGGGAGGTGCAAATCTTGCGTGGATTTTGTTTTTATTTTCTTCAAATATTTTTGTATTGAAGAGAGAAGAAAAAGAAGAAGAAAAAACCACGCGAACGCGAAGAGAGGTAGGCCTCGGGCGCACGGCGAGTAACGGTGGGGGGGTGGGGGGTTGAGTGACGGCTGCTAAGGGACCGCGTCAAACAGCCGATTGTCCCGGTCGTCGCAACACGGGGCAACAGTTTCAATCGTTGATCGATTTTGGGGCCGTCCATAAATGACGTCACGTACCTGGGGGGGGGGGGGGGGGTCAGACATTTTGACGATGTGTGATGATGGGTGGGGGGGGGTTTGAGAAATGTGACGTCACATCAAAATGCGCAACTTTAAATAAATATAGACAATACGTTCTACTTAATTAAATATACTTTTTAGTAAATGTTTTCTCCTATAACATCAGAGTGCAGCGCCACATTAAATACGCACTAGAATGACAATAGTTTAAAGCGATTTGAAGCATGTTTTATTTGGGGGGGGGGGGGTAGAGCTTTATGACGTCATATTTGAGGGGGGGTCTGACTTTTTGTGACGCCGTGTGACAAAGGAGGGGGGGGTCAAAAATCGTCCAAAATCGCGTGACGTCATTTATGGACGGCCCCTTGGACACTGGAATCAAGCATAGCTACTTGTTATTGTTGTCGGACTGGTTACAGCAAGGCCGTAGCCGTGGAGTCAACATTAGGGGGGACGAAATTTTCCAGGGTGTCTGGGGGTCCCAACCCTGAAAAATATCAAAATTTGAAAACTCATTTCCTGCCTAAAATATAAGAAAATTAACTAACACATGGGATGGACTTTTTATTTTATTTTTTACAATAATGTCTAAGAGTGTATTGTATTACATTCCTCTGCTTTTACTTTTTTACCTTTTCTTGTTTCATTGTATGTAATGGCAGAGATTAGGGATTGATAAAGTACAACCATAATCATATAAACAGAAATCGATGCATTGTTATATGAAGACAAGTCCAGATATTGTGGCCAAGGTTTAGCAAATTGTTGTTTTTATTTACATAGCACAGCAATTTTTTATAGCAATATATTGGGGCGACATTTTGAGCATATTGGAATATTATAATTACGGCCTTGGGTTACAGCCTTTGGAGCAGTTTAGCCGGATCGGCCCTGGGACTGCCAGATAATGTTGGAAGCAGCTGGATAATCGATGATCCACTGTATGTCCAGGGGCGGTTTCTTCATTAGGGCGATTGGGCGACGCACCACCAATGTCATTCAACCACAGAGTTTCGCGAGCCATTACTGTGCCTCTGGATATAGTCCAATCAGCGTCATGCTACGTTCTGTGGAGTACCGCCTCTTTTTGGGCGATTTCACTCCGGCTGAGAATCGCCCAGAGTGTTCCCATAGACTTACATTCAAAGATATTTGTTTTCGAACGGCGGGCGCTGCAATGCATTCTCTATGGCTTCCGGGAGGGCTCGCACTAACGTGCTTACGTCATCATACGTAAGTACGTTTCATCCAACAATATTATTTGTCGCCACCTAGTGGAATCTTTAATAAAAGAAACTAAGTGGATTGTAATAATAGTGAGTATAGAAACAAACAAGATGTATTGTAAGAGTCACTTTAATTTTCATTAATATTAAAGAAGTGAAGTTGCCTTTACATGCTTAAGCTGTTAATTTATCCATTGCATGGGTGGACCTTATCCCTATCAATCATCCAGACATTTGCCCCCCCTGAGAGATTTTGCAGGAGCCGCCACTGTGTATGTCAACACAATATTTGGCGGGGTGGAAGGCGGTGCGTCTTATAATCCGGTATGTGAGCACTGCAAAATGACACCCGGATTCCTAAGTTGGAAATTGTGCTCACTGTCCCATCTATTTGACACTCAGTCCGTGCGCCACGCAGAGACGATGTGCCACTCAGTCTGCCTAATGGATTTTAGCAGGTGACTGGAGAGAGAGAGAGAGAAAATAACTTTTACCACCCCTGTCACTCAGACTCATTATAAGCATATACATTCTTGATTTGAAGCTTTCGTGACTGCAGGAATCCATACTCTTTGGTTCTTTCGGTAAACTCCCCGTAGGTAGAAATATAATTGGACCACTGCGGCAGCACTAGAGATATCGGCTGCAGGGGGGAAGAGAGAAGGGGGGGGGGCAGTACCCGGGTCACTGGAGTACTGGAGTAGAGATCGGAGAGAGATGCACAGAGAGAGAGAAAGACACAGAGAGTCGGAAATAACAGCTGACATAGGCAGGTAGGATGGAAACATCACAGTCAGTTAAGACTTTACCCGGTTAATAACATCCTTCCAATGATTGCTCAGTTTGTACCCATCTTCTCGGTGGAAGTTTTATCTGTGTTAATATATCTGGATGGCTTCATGAACAAATCTCTGAAGATAGCCGGTAGGTTTGCAGAGTACCTTAGTCTTGGAAAAGTCAATTTCGTGTGAGCCCACAGCGTTAAAACAATGATCAGCAATGGCAGAAGTATTGGTCCTACCGTGTTTCGGATCTGCCTTGTGTTCACGAACGCGGTTCGAGACATGTCGTTTCGTTTCCCCAATGTAACTGCTGCCGCAACCACAACTCAGTTTGTAGACACCAGGGTATTGCATGGCAGGAATCACATCCTTTACAGATGGGATCAAATTACAGATTTTATGTACTGTATTGAAACGAACCTGGATCTTGTGTTTGTTTAAGATTTTGGAAATCTTTTTGGTAACCCCTGTTATGTATGGCAAAGTGATGGTATTGGTTGCATCCTCAGATGGTTGTCTCCCCATGGCTGGGGAGACAGCTTTGCGGATGGTACGGTCAGAATACCCGTTCATCCTGAGGGCTTGGTGTACGTACTCCAACTCACCAGCTAGGTGGTGCTGGTCGGAGATGCAACGGGCCCTATCGTGTAGTGTTTTGATGAGGGAATTCTTCTGGGCTAAGTGGTGGTGGGAGTCAGGCTTTAGATAGGCATCCGTGTGGGTGGATTTCCTGTAGACAGAGTGTCCCAACGAGCCATCAGGTCTCTTCTCGATCAAAACATCCAGGAATGGTAACTTGCCATCCTTTTCCACTTCCATGGTGAATTTGATAGATGGGTGTATGGAATTGATGTGGTTGAGAAATTGGTTGTGCTGGCAGGCCATGTGGCCAGATGACGAACGTGTCATCTACGCATTCTCTTCCACAAGGAAGGACGTAGGGTGGATGTCTGAATGACATCTGTCTCAAATTTCTCGATGAAAACATTCGCTACCACTGGCGATAAGGGAGAACCCATTGGGGTACCCTATTTTTTTGTTTGTAGAATGTACCATTCCAAGTGAAGTAAGTGTTGGTAAGGCAGTGCGTTACCAAAGTTGGTACATCTGGATTCAGTCCCTGTTGGAGCAAGTCTTCAATTATTGCAATGGTGTCAGGTATAGGTACCTTGGTGAACAGAGAGACTACATCGAAACTGACAAGTAAATCATCTGGAGACAGTGAGATGTCCTTGATTAGAGAAACCAAGTGAGCTGAGTTAAGTACAGCTGAGGTGGTCTTGCCCGTGAAAGGAAGCAGGGTCTCAGACATAAATCGGGCCAGTTTGTAGGTGGGTGAGTTAATCTGGGTGGTCGAGCAGCCGAAGGTTTTAGAGAACGCTGCTTGGTCGAATCGATTAGAGAAGTGGAATTAGTGATGATATTGTTGGTTATTGTAGCTAAGCGGTTGGTGGGATCTCTGTTGATTTTGGTATAGCTGCCATCATTAAGAAGGTCCTGAATTTTGTTGTTGTACGTGGTTTTATCCATGATGATAGTGGCATAACTGGCATTGCCCTTTTCGGGTGTGAGGATGACAATGTAGATGTGTTGACCACCCTTCTGCGCTCTTGCACATTGTGGGGGGGGGGGGGGGGGGGGGAGGATTGCCTCTATATAAGGAACGAAACAGTAAGACTTATCCACAAATATGGCTGTCGCCTGATGAAGCTAGTTGTAATTACTGGTGAAACGTCGTACTCAGTTTGTAAATGTTGTGGCTTGGCTCTACCAACACACCGGTGTGCTGTACTCGTGACGAATTGGCCACGTTCTGTTTACGTGACAACATTTACTAGTTGGCTATGTCGGGTGGTGGGGGGTTTTAACGACACATTTATATTTTTACCCGATCTAACACAAAAACCTCTATTATGCATTCATTTCATGTTCATAGTTCGGATTTATTTACATCAGAGGATTGTGAGCAGTCGCTGCGGCTTAAGGTCAACGTGTTGCCACGAGGGGGTGGGTGGAAAACACACCAGCCACCTTTGTCTCCCCAGTGGCAATATTTACACACCGCACCAGGTACTCATTTGAGGGTGAGTCGTACTAGGGGAGGCCCAGAACCGGTTCAGATAATCATCACTGGTGTTAGGCATGAGAGGGGAATTCAAATCGGGTCGCTCACCACGACACTACCACTCGGCACACGACTCAACACACACACACAATGTCAGGGCCACACTGCTCCACTTCTAACGGTTTTTATTGTCATAATCAAGAATAATTTTAGATGCGCGATGCATTATTCCACTCGCATTATCTGATCGTCTCAGAAAAAAACTGTATTGTTGAATTACAATGGCACCTGCCCTTTCCACCTTACCCCCATTGTGTGCTCATGTCTCTGGGTGCACCATCACATACAGTCCGTCAAACACTATTTTCCATATTGCTTTTACAATCAACCGGATTCTCCTGGAGGTAGTCTCGCGTCAAACTCACCCATGTTTTACCACAGGGTCCGGGAGTCTCCATCTGACACCGAACTTTGCCAATTCTCTCTCACAGGGGAAACCCATGGCCAGGTCACTCGCTAGGTTGCCGGGATGAAAACCCATGTGGAGAGGTTCGGTTTGTGTGTTCTAGTTTCCCTAAGCGCTAGTCTGGGTGCGTGCATGGTGTGTGTATGTGTGGGGTGTTTGTGTGGTGTGTGCATGCTGTGTGTGTGGTGTATGTGTGCATGGTGTGTGGTGTGCATATGCGTGGGGTGTATGTGTGCGTGGTGTGTGTGTGGGGGTTGTGTGGTGTGTGTATGTGTGGGGTGTATGCGTGTGTGTGATACAAGCAAGTAAAAACAATCTTA